ATTAGAACGGAGACATTCAATGGATCAGGTTTGGAGCACAGATTAGATGTTTATGCTGGTTTGCTGATGAGCTATATCAAAAAATGTGTAACTAACAGCAGCTCATTATCAGAGCTGTATCTAACTGCACCCTCCTATCACCAAGTCCTTATACTACACACTGATAAATGGACTGTCCATAGACTCAGACCAGGACACAGGATACGTCCACACTTCAAAACCCCTCCAAAAACCCAACCACACACACCACGCACAGAGCGGGTCTCAGAGCCCAGGCCAATGCTACGGAGCTAAAAAAAAGCAGTGCAGACGTTTCTGCTTGGGCTGGAGCCTGGGCTCGGAGTCCGGGCTCAGAGTCCCGCCCCGCTCGGCAGGTTTCAGAGCCTGGGCTCCAGCCCGAGCATCTACGTGGCTGTTTTGAGCCCTGCAGCACAAGCCCGGTTCTGAGCCTCACTGGTTTTAGTTTGCAGTATAGACATTCCCTAAAACTTTTCAGGCTCTGGGACCCCCCCAAGAACGTTGCAATCAGAAGACCCTTTTCTTCAGCGCCTTTAGCCCAGTATCACAGCAGGGCTGAATGGGATCCAACACTGAAACACAAGGAGTTGCGGTATATCCTACTTCAGCACGACTCTATTCTGGTGGTGGGTTCCATTCTGCCCACACACCCCGCCCCACCCCTCGGCCCTTTTCCTTTCTAAATCCACTAGAATTTCTAACGACGTGTTGGCAGTTTTGTTTAAAGAGGAAGAGGTCACTGTTCAACGATACCTGGATTCTCTGATCCTCCACATGTTGCTGGTCAGGTTGTTGAGCAGATCATCCAGAATCTCCTTCATGTATTTATCAATCTGGTGGAAGAAAAGACAAAAAATCATAGACCAGGAGCAGCCTGCAGCTTCCCATCAAGGCTCTGGCCTTGCAACTGGATCCACATACACGGGTCTGACTGCATGACTGGGACCGCAGCAAGCAAAAGTCCTGGTCTTTAGCTTGTACCTGCCAAGATTTTCCACCTTTCTAAGGAAGGTCTCTGTGGACGAGACACAACGCCCCCAGAGTTACCAGCCAAAGTACAGCAAATCCTGATCGACTGTGAAAGGTCAGAGCTGACCTTGCATGAGCCTGTTCTGCTCGGGCTGGCTCTCTTGCTCCAGTTTGGAAGAGACTTCCCCTCTGCTGGTTCAGAGCCCCAAGGCTGCGGGGAGCCACATTAGCCATGTGGAGAAGGGAAAGCTAGAGCCCTCCAGCTCTTTTGTTATGGAGAGGTTTGGAAGCAGAAGCCAATAGGTCTCTAGAAAGACCAGAAGCAGGATATTTCCACAGGCCTGAGAGCCTCCGAATCTACTGATGCAGTTTTTTATGGGGAGAGGTAGGATTGGGGCTGCTAAGAAGAAAACTCACTAATCCATTCCAGAGTTTCAGGAGCCCAGGGAAGAGAGGGGCTACCACTGAGCTCTCCTACCTCCTGTCACTTGGGGACAGCTTCTTCCACTGAGTCAGCATCTGCTTCTTCCAACGAGCAACCTCCTCGCCACTTCAGGGAAGCTGATCAGCTGATCTTTGGCTGCCACAACCCCAGAGCCCTCTTCAGCCACTGACGGGTGAACTGTACCCTCACAAAGCAGCAGGGACCCCTAGGGGCTTCTCATAAAAAAAAGCAGGAAGTGCTGCAACCCCTACTTTATGGGGCAGCAGAACTTGAACGTGGCCCTTGCAGAGGAGCTCAGGAAGATCCTTCCATGCATAACAGGCAGTGTGGAGACATCTGTGCATCTTCTATTTCTCCCAATAAATTCCACATCTCCTGTTCTACTTGGCTATGTTAGAACCTATTCTACATAGTAAGAGGTTTCCTCCTCCTCATACAGCACAGATCATCAATGCCTTTCACAAGATGCTCCTCAGCTATTTCTTGCCGAGAATCCTGTTGAGATGCTCAAGCACGTGGCTTTTCACTCCAACACCCTACAGACCCAAATGGGACATGAGAACTCATGCTCACTCACTGCAGATTTGTCGGTGACAAGCGCGTTCCAAATGCTGGTCATAGCCTGTCGAATGCCCATGTTGGGGTCAAACTGGTAACGATAGAGACGGGGAACCAGCTGGGGCAAAAACGGAGCCAGTTGCTCTCCAGCCTTTGTAGCGATCACGTTGAAACCAAACGCTGCTCCCTAAAATGAGGAAGAATGGATGTATTTGATTCGCTTCAGCAGACAAGTGCATCTATTTTACTCGTTTAGGGCCCAATCCTGGGCCCACTGACGTCAATGGCAAAGCTTCCACAGAGGTAAGCAATGTAGGATCAGATCCCTGTCACACCCCTGATTTGTCATCGCTTAGTTACATTCCCTATGTCATCTGGTTAGTATTAAAGTGAAGCCAAATATTGACCTTACGGACCAATCCCACAGCTTTGAGTCACACAATCAGCCTCCCAACAGGTAATGCAGCGAATTTGCAGTGAAGGGAGGATAACTTAATAAGGTATCACATATTCTCTCTCCCTCACTCCTTTTCATTTTGAGGCATCTCCTCAGCCCTCCTATCTAGAGATGGTGAGTGAGGGGGGTATAAATCTGTGCAGCAGTAAGCATTACAATAAGCAGCAGATTTTCCAACGAAAATGTGTTCCCAAAAGGAATCAGCCAAGTAGGAGTTTTCCCTGCACACAAACTATGTTGCATTTATAAAAGGACTTTTTAAAACAAATAAAAATCTAAGGTTAAAAGGAGAGAGAGAGAGAGAGAGCGCGAGCGAGAGGGAGCGCGCACTTCTCTGCATTTCTTTAAAATGCTTGGGATTACTGCTTTGTATTCATCACGGTTTAGAGGAACTCAAATGGCACTACTTCATCAGCCCTTCTGTAGTCAGAAAGGGGGACTGTCAACCCTCATGCTGATGTGTAGCTATTCACCCAAGTAGTCCCATTAACATCAGTGTAACTGAGCAAAATAACTTCTCAGCCGTGGAAGTCAGAGGTTCAGAGTCTAGCCCATAGTGACGACTGTTTGCGCTGCTCCAGTCAGTATTGTATCACAGCTGCCATTTTGCTTCAGGTAGAATATTGTGTCACAAATTTTTAAAAAGCATGGCAAGTAAATACAAAGAAGCTCCCTCTTCATTTCCCCTGCTGTGGCAGCGATCTAAGATCAGTGACAAACCATAAGGCTACTGTAACAGGGGGGCAGAATCTATGACCCCACAGAGGATGGAGTGCTCTTCTGCTAGCAGACATTAGAATCCAGCATAAAGTTGCTGTGTAAATTCTGCTGACTCATTACAGCAGGTGCAGTTTGTTAACTCCACCAGGCTATAAGAGAAAGGTGTGAACCTCTGGTTATAGGAATCAAAGGGCAGAGATAGGGAGGTCCTGCAGGAAACACTGACTAGTCAAGCTTTGGAAGAAAGCTTAGGCAGAGGCTTATGTTCTGCTTAAAGTGGAGTTTCCAATAAAGCCAAATCCCAGCAAGGGGGCACGTGATGAACTTGTGCAGAGTGGACAGGTTATTTGAAGCACGCAGCAGCACTGCCTGCTCGGTTGTTAAAACAACTTATTTTGTATTTCAAATGGGCTAATGAAAAAGGATGTCACATTAATCAAATCTTAATTAAAAAAAGTTAAAATAAACAAAAACTTTTTTAAAAATGAGTTAGAATGAATAGGAATGATAGTTATTTGACTTCAGGCAGCATGACAAGTCACATTGTGGCTTTGATAAAGGGTATAATGGCTAAAGAATGTGAGTAGTTGATCTTTTGGTAAATAAAATTAAGAGCATTATTTCAAGGACAGTGATTAAAACAGCTGGTGTGCTGTGACCACTGCTTATCACAATCGTCTCACTGCTACCTTGTGCTCCACCATCCTTTTTGTCAAAGCCACCTGTTTTTTGCCTTAAATTTAGGATTTAAGCTCTTTTAAAAAATATTTGTACAGCAGCTACCACACTGGGCCCTTAGCCCCTATTTGTTACCACAGTACAAATAATCAATAATAATATTAACTATAATTAATTACAGAGTGGAATGTGGAGTGTGGATTCAAGCAATGCAAATAGTATTAATGATTTGTTGGAATAATTGAAGAAATCTGTAATTCACCATTTCACATGCTGGTAGATTCACACTAGAACACAGTATCTATGGCCAGAAATTGCACCCCAATTGTTATAAGAGGAATGATGCAATTATTGGGTGGTGGTTTTTTTTGTTTTGTTTTTTACAGCTCACATAGGTATCTGCATTGTTGTATCAAGTTACCTTGCGCGAGTTCCACATGGCATGGTGGTTGGCCAGATTCATGAATTTGTACACCAGGTCTGGTTGGCTGAGGTCACTAGCCAGTGAACAAAGCTCCTTGTAGGTAGAGAGACCCTGACTTGGGAAGGCAAGAAGGAAAAATTAGCGTCACTTTTCAGTCTCAGACAGCGCCATCATACCTATAACTCCACAGAGTCAAGAATTCAGTAAGTAATTCAGCTAAGATATAAACATGTGTCCAATCAGTACTACAAAGAAAGAGCTATAGTAACTATTAGAGAGGTAACAAGAGTAACGCAATCAAAATTCTAGACAAGTAAAAACCGAGGAAGGATTTACAAGAAGAATATGTAGCTCTAGAACAGCAGTTTGATGCAGAATTGCACCTGTCTCATGGAAAGTCATCACTAAACCTACCCATCTGGGGTTTTGCCAAGGGCTCCCTGGAACACCACTGTCTCTCCAGTCACTTCATGTTTGACCCTGGTGATAAAACAGGCCCAGCATTAGCTTTTCCGTGACTGTCCGGGAACAGGCTATCATTCACACGCTGTACATTCGAATACCTATGAATTTGTTTCACTTTATTTGCCTGGTAAATCCTTGTTAGTTGCGACCCGATCCTGTCGACTTATGTGCATGCTTAACCTCACACACTGCGAGGCGTCCCGCTGACTCCAGCGAGGCGGAGCATTACCTACGTGTTTAAGTCTTTGAAAGGTCAGGATCTTACTGTTCAATTCTAAATTAAAAGATGCAGCGTATATAAACAGCTGCTTTTTACTTCTACCTGTATCTGTTCCCAATCACTTGGGCAAGGATCCAAACACATATTTAGACAAGGTCTCTATCCCGTTCCAAAGAGCAAAATACAATTTCCATCTGCCTCTTAGTCCCAGCTACCACTGGAATTTTCCCTATATTGCCCCACCCTCCGTTTATGGTCCTCTGAAGTTAGTGGCAACACTCCTATTGATTTCTGTGGGAGTTTTTCTAGCCTTTGTCTAACCTAACTGCTTCCTCCTCTCAGCAGGAGAGCTATCCACTCTACCGCAGAACCATCAATACTTGCTATGTGGTCATTTTAGCTATAATCAAACATTTTTTAAATATCAAAAATATTAGAAATATAACAGCAAAATTTAATTTCCAGCCGTTATTCCTAGCAACAGGCAAGCAACGGTACTCCCCTGCAGAAAGCTGCTGGGACTGTAAATAATCCAAAGCAGAAAGGACATTGGACTCTTTTGCACAAAAAAGAAATAGTTCTTCGTTAAAACTTGATCAGCACAAGATACATTTGACCCACAAGGCAAACCCCAAAACATCTTTTTAACTTTTCAACCATTCAGCACAGCTCAATAGGCTACAAACATTTCTACAAACATCTTTCAGTTCATTGTACTTAGTTATCACACACTGCCAGACATGTGGGGAGTAGGTGAAAGTTGATTTCCACCATTCTGATCCTAAGGAACCTCTCTCCACAGACCTGTCACACACACACACACACACACACACACACACACACACACACACACTTGAAGTTCTGTGCTCACCGTACCTTTTCCCAGTCATAAGCGTATCAACAAGCGTGGTGACCAGCTCCTGTTGATCTTGTTCACTACCTAGTTCATACACTAGCCCAAGGCCTTTGGAAGCAACGTCTTGGCTAAGTTCTGCAACAGATTTCATACCATAAAAGCCAAGTGTGTAAGTAGTAAGAAAAATACCAATGAAGAGAGACAATTAAAATAGGAGCTAAAGAATGGGATCTATGACATGGTTAAATGACATCAAAGGTGCTGGGGCCTAATCCAAAACCCAGCAAAATCAATAGAAAGACTCCAACTGATTTCCGTGGGCTTTAGATTAGCCCCCTAGGCACCATTTCTTCAACTGGATCTATGCAGGTGGACCCCTGCTGATTTAAATGGAGCACAGCCAAAAGTCTTGCCCATGTGGATCCAATTGCAGGATTGGAGCCCTGGTACACAAACCAAACAGGGGAGCCCCATTGGTCTCCACTCTACTATAGTCCCCCAGTAGACTATGGGGAAAGCATGCCTTCCCATGGAAATTTTGACGCAACTAGGTTAAGGGGGAGAGAAATGTTTCATTTGACATTTCTGCCAACAACAGCATGCAAACATGTCCATTTTCCAGTGAAAATTAATATTTCTACAAACATCTTTCAGTGCTGAACAATAAAGATTTAGATGGTTTTATGTAACTGCACTGAATAGCAAAAAGATTCTCTCCCCTCTGTTAAGAAACTGTTTGTTCAAAGACAAAGCACATAGATATGGTACTACTTACCATCATTATCAGACAGAACTGAAACAAATGCACTTTGAATCTCCTTGAGATGAGACTGAAAGATGAAAGAACATGTATTTTTTATTCTGTGTTTTTGCCTCCTCTCAATTTCATCTAACAGGGTCTAGCAGATACACTCCGACTATTTCATTGCTGTCACAATTGTAGTTCAAACAGACAATACAAGGACTGCACTCATTTCCTGAGAAGTTAGAAACAGGCCATCTGAAGTTCTGAGATAATAATACTTTGCATTCATCGAACATCTTCCCTCCAACCTCAAAGCAATTTACTAAGTAACATAAGTGTTACTCCCTTTTTCCAGATGGGGAAAGAAAGGATGGGGGGGAGGGGGAGATGCAGGAGGGGGAGTGTCAAGTAACTTGTCCAAGGCTACAAAGTGAGTAAGTCAGAAAGAGAACCCCAAACTCCTAGCCCCTGTGCTAATCAGAAGATTGTATTGCCTCCTTGAAGCCCCATTAGGGAGATGAGAACTCTGCAAAAATAACCTGATGTGGGGCAACTGGGCCAGTTTGAAATTTAGTAATAGTTTAAACCTATGTAGCATCTTTCATCCCAAAGCATTTTGACAACTATGTTCAGGCACCTTGCTGCTGAAATTCAGCCACCTTGGGATGGAAGGTGGCAGCCAACTGGCTCATCATTGCCTATTGCATCAGCGTGGTGGGGAGAGGAAGTTTAGGCCAAAACCACTGGGGTAAACTCCTGTATTTAGGCAGAAGACCAAGGGATCTTTAGTGGTCATACAGAGTGGACAGGCCCTCAGTTTTAAGGTCTCGTCCAAAAGATCCCAAACGCAATATTAGTTTATCTGCCTTTGGAGGGCAGAATTGACCCTGCTGGGATTTGAACCTGTGGTTCCAAGTAGTCTGGAAATTTCCAAACTGATTTATTCTTAGAGATTTAATGTTCTGCAACGAGAAATCCTTTAAAATGCCAGTGACACCAACCCCCTTTGCCTAAGAGAACAGGTCTTTGGGGCCGTATGCTTCAGCCCTTATGGAAACCAAACCCACAATGACGTCAGTGGAAGTTAAGAGGCCTATTAAGGCTGTAGGACTCCAGGAGCAGTATCATCCCAGCGACACAGGACATGCAGGTGTCACATGAAGATCTCAGCGAGTATATAAGGAAGGAAAGAGGCAACAGCGGCGAGGGGAGAGAAGGAAGGCGGCAAAGCAAGACAGAGGCAGATTGTCACCTTAATTTCTTTGTGTGTGCTCAGCTTCTTCACCAGTGACAAAAGCCAGATGCAGGCTGCCTGCCTGACGTGGGGGTTAGGGCTGACAATGTGCTTATTCAAAATGAGGTCCAAAACCCAGGGGACCACGTCGTTCACTTTCACATCTGTTTGGATGGAATAAAAAGATGAGGAACATTACATCGACACTGAAACACACACATGCTTATTGTCACTGAACGCATTCAATCAACTCATAGATAGCTCTTCATTATGGTGTAAGCCCTCACCCTGCACCTTCAGCACTGCCTACTCATTAAAAGGCCCTGCGGGAGACAATGGGAGTTTTGCATGAGTAAGGACTGCTAAATAGGCACCTCTTGGCCCAGTCTTAAAATATCCTTGGCCAAGATTCTGAACATCCGGTAAAAACGCACAACAATCCTTGGACTAATAGGAATGGTGCAGACTATGACTGAATGTGTTAGTGTTTTATTAGTACCCAAATTCCCCAGAGGGACTCAACCTAGCTTCTACCTGATCCTGCAAACACATATACATGTGCTTAACACTAGGCACAATTGAGATCAATGGGACTACTCATACCTATAAAGTTAAGCACGTATGAGAGCGTTTGCAGGAATGGGGCCTAAGATTGAACCTATGGTTTTTGTAGGCAGCATTTTTCATGCTCACTTTCTTCCATATCCAAAAATCCGATTAGTGAACAAAATGTGCACTAGGGTGCATAAAATCGGGTAGATATCCAAGTCCATGCGCACGCAAATGCAGTTTGTTCATAGCAATCCAAGCGTTTGTGTACAAAACCTCCGGCAGGAAAACCGAAGATTCCGTTTTAAAGTCTGCTTTGGGAAATTTGGCTCTAACTGTTTTAAAGGACGTATACATATTAGATATGAAACAAGCGTGGGAGAGCAGAATAAATGATCAAAGCGTAAAGCAGTTAATTGTATATTAGTAAGAAGCGGATTTAAACAGCACACACTTCAAAAATCTTTTCATTGTCTCTTGATATTTTTCAGGCTGGTCAAACGGGGGGAAAAGCCACTAACTAGTAAAAAAACAGGCAAACGGACAGGTGAAGGGTACTGAGCACCACCTGGGAACTGCTAAGAGCCTCTAACTCCCACTAACTAGAATCAGTGTCCCAGAAGTGCTCAACTCCACGTAGGACAGGGGCCTCAGGTTCTTCATTCCACCTCCAAATCGCCCACATCACCAATACATACCTGCAGGAGGAGTGTACTCTTCCTCGGTGACCATCCAAGCATCACGGGCAGCCACTGAGCTGGTTCCTATTGCGGCACTGGTAATGGCTTCACCAACGGTGAACTGAAGTTCTATTTGCTTGGCCTGGAAAATACAAGAGGTCCTCGCTAAACAATCACCTTGTTACTGACCAACCCCAACAATTCTCACCCCAGTACTGAGCAGAGCGCCGCAGTCAAGTGGCATTTTGCAGAGATTTTCAAAGCTCCCTAGTTTGGATGCTCAGCCGCCCGTTAAAATTGACGGCAATTCAGTGCACAAGCCCCCACGGCAACTTTGAAAACCTCAGGCTTTTACTTTTACAAAATGCTTTATGGAATATTTGACAGCCTGCTATAAAGTGTTACTGTAAGTCATTAAAACTGTTCTGCGTTTGTCCAAACCAGGGAACAAAGGTAATGCAGCGTCCTTGGCTGAAAAACAAAAGGTTTATTCACTTTGTTCAGCAATCCCAGTCAGTGTGAAATATTGAGGTTTTATTGTACTAGGCAGAAGTAAAATAAAAGATTCCCCTACCCACCACTTCAGGGAACAAACTGCTGTTAAATGTTCTATCACACACTGAAAAGCTGAGCCGCACATTCTAACTTCAAGAGATGGAAAGAAATTCTTTTCCACTCACCAGGGACACGCGAGTAAGATTTAGCTTTGTTCTGTGTCCCTCTACCACTTCCTCTCTATTCCTTTTACCTGCATCAGGAGCAGAACAGGCACGGAACTTTGCTACTCATTTAATTTATATATACATAATTTTTTTTACTACGACATGTAGCCCGTAGGCTTAATTTTCAAAGCCGCTGAGCACCTGCAGTTCCCATTTACTTCAATTAGAGCAATAGCTTCTCAGTTCTTGGCAGAATCAGTCCCTTAGCTTATAGTCTTTCCAAATTAGTTTCCTGCAAGCTCACATAAATCCTTGTGCTCAAGTAAACATTTTATACAGGAAGCTCTCCTGTCCTTGGAAAAGTTCTAGGAAGAGAAGCGCTGCATTTTGAAAGGCCCACTTTGAAGATACAAACAGGATGACCTTGTCATTTTTGTTGCTTTTACAATCATGTCATATTACAGGGCTTGGCCACGGCAGCATATTGGATATTCACTAGTCACTTCTGTATTTGCTAACTGCTCAATGTGATTATGATCAACTGAGAAAGGGAAAAACCAACATGCAAATGCAGAACACTACCCTAATGTGCAAGAAGTTTTTCATTCTCCCTTCCAGCATCTCATTCAGTAAATTAGCAACTCTGAAATACTGTGCAGAATGGAACAAAATACATTTCCAATATAGAGCAGAGTTCCGGGATTAACAAAAAAATATTGCTGATTTTTTCTAAAATGCTTAATTCAGCTGAGCTACACCACTCAACGTCTTTCCAATACAATTTCTGTCCTTTGTTTAAAATTTGTCACAGGAACAAGATATTTTGACATTCAATGTGTATCTTTAGTAATTTTAAAAGACCAGATTTTCAGAAGTGGCCTCTAAAAGGGCCTGTTAACGCAAGCACTTACACCCGTGCTTAACTTTACAGACGTAAGCAGTCCCATTGACAATATGTAAGTGTTTATGGGACTGGGAGAGAAAACTGAGGCCACAGGTTTTACATACACAAAACTTCTCTTCACCCTCTACCAGCCTGCTTGCAAACAGAAAGAACAGATGTGAAAAATGGACTGAGTCACTTCAAAGAGCAGCTCCCATTTCCCTTTGTAAATGTGGCCCAAAGTATTCAGAAGGCCAATACTAATTGAAACGCTCATTGTGGTGTAAGGGAGAACGTTAGTGCCTTACCTCCACAGAATCCATTAGTCCTTGCAACAGTAGTTTCTGGTGGGGAAAGTCTCCATCTCCCACTGGAAAGTAACCCAGTGTTTGTATCGCTCGTTCTTTCATCTTAAAAATAGAATCACAAGATTTTACTCATAAACCCAGCAGGCACTTTTTCAACATAGATGCCTCCTAATTTGAAATCCAGAGCTTTTATTATTACTCTTTCACGCCTTCCCACTGAGTTTAATCACAAGCTGTCATAGATTCCTAGAAATCAGAGATGGGAAAAACCTACTAGGTCATGCAGTACATCCTCCTGCCAACGCATAACTTTTCCCTACAGCACAGCACTAGCTGGATTAAAAAAATCACTGGAAAATGACCCAAGTGGTGGAGTTTCCCCTCATTCTATTTGAGGTCCAGTCCAGAGCCTAGTCCCTTTCGCACAGTACTGTTAGAGAAGTTCTTTCTGATTTTCAGCCACAATATCCCATTTTCTACACTGGGGGGGGCGGGGGGAGGAATCAATCTAAATTATGCAACTTCAGCTACGTGAATAACGCAGCTGAAGTCAACGTACTTAGATCGACTTACCGTGGTGTCTTCACCCTGGTGAGTCGATTGCTGCCGCTCCCCCGTCAACTCCGCCTGCGCCTCTCGCCGAGCTGGAGTACAGAAGTCGACGGGAGAGCGCTCGGGGGTCAATTTATCACGTCTAGACTAGACGTGATAAATCGACCACCGCTGAATCGATCCCTGCCCGCCGATCTGGCGGGTAGTGAAGACATACCCTCAGTTTCATCCCAAGAAGATAAAAAACACAAAAACTATTATTCATTCAAGGGATTTTCTAACAGCCTTTGGCCTAGCTCTCCTACACTGAAGCCAAGGGTAAAACTCCTATTGACTTCAGTGGGAGCAGAGTTAAACCAAGGCTGAGCACTTTTTGAAAATGTCATCACCAAGACTGCAAGGGTGATGTCTCTCTTAACTTGATAGGTAATCACGTTAGCCTCACTTTAACCCAAAACAAACAAGAACAAACACAGAGAGAAAATATGCCAGAAACAAAATTAACAAACCAAAAAAATCTTGCCTTATTTGTTTCCTTGCCAGAAGGGATTCTGGTCAGTAAACTCTCAACAAGATGCAGCTTTGTAAACCCGGTGCCTTCGTTGGGAATTGGCAAGGGGCCGTTCCTGCCAATTTCCCCCAGTGCTGTACAAGCAGCAACTGCCAGGAGCGGAGAGGTGCTGTCCAAAAAGGAACCTACAGAGAAGCAACAGGATGACTTGGGTTTTGTCCCTACAGGGGGGTCGAAAGTTTTTTTTTTTTTTTTTTTTTTTTTAAAGGAGAGGACAGTTTGCTCTCCTGTATAACAGAGAGAATCAGGAGTGAAGTCAGAGTTACAATAAAGTAAAACCAATTTAAGTGAGAGAAATATACCACAAACGTACACCTGTGTGCACCTGCTCGTCTCTCACATGGGAGTCTATCTCTTAATTAATATTGGAGTAGTGAGCATTGTTTACACCTGATCAGACAACAGAGATGGAGACAGTCTTAAAGACTGGCAAATCCACCAGACAGGTGTTACTCAGCATCAAGGCCACTGTCAGTTCATGCAGCCAACCTGAGAAATATCCTGAACCAGCTGTGACTGGAAACTATGCTTACATAGATTCTCATGTCAAGAACCATCAATGCCAAGGTGCAATACAATAGCCAAGAGTGAAGTTACCTATTGTTTCTGTTGTGGTCTTTATGAGCTGGTCTTGTTCTGGCATGACAACAATATTTGGCTCTTCAATGTCATGCATCTCCATCATTCTGGTTTTCCTTTTGGCCAGGTACCTTCCTACTGTGAATCCCAAAGCCAACAAGGATCCATGTTGGATCTCCGGGTTCTACAGACAATACCAACATGGTAGGAAATCTACATAGACACAATCATGCATTTTACATAAAGCGTACATGAAAAGACAGATGTATAGGTAGGCCCGCTGGAAAGGTACAGCACGAAAATTCTGAGCTATAGCCCAGCCTATGGGGCTTTCCATAGGTTGTCGGTACTGTCAATGTTTTCTCCCCTGGAAGCCTAAATTGTGGAGATTTTCAATAGCTAAGGGATTTAGGAGCTCAAGACACACAGAAGGTCACTGGGACCTCCACTCCTAAATTGCTTAGGATCTTTTGAAAACTTCCCCCTCAAGTTACCAGGAGGAAAAAAAAAACCATCTGTAATCCTTTAGTTTATAAATATATCCTTCCGAATGTGAGCAGTGCGGTCTTCCCCAGTTTGCACATACAAGAGACTGAAACAAGGGGCCAAGCTCTGCTCTTGCTTACTCCAGATAAAATCCCTTCAATTCAGTGGAGTTACTCAAAATTCACAAGTGAGTGCACAATCTGGTCCCATCATTCTAGATAAGGTTAAAGCAAGAACATTAATTATTTCAGCGTTGATCTTTGTATTAGAAATGTCTAGCTAATGTCTTGTTCCGGATTCAGAATCCAGTAGTCTGGATTCATTTGAAAGGATACTCTGCAGGAATAAGGCTTCAAGATTTAAAAGATGCAAACAACAGAACTGCATTTTTTTTTAATGCTTTTGTTTGATCCTCAACATACTACTGTAAAAAGGAAGGGGAAAGAGTAGATCTAGGGGGGACTGGAAGATCTCAAAGAGAGAATGAAAGTTCTCATAACAAATATTTCTTTTAAGAGAGAACTGAGTAAAATAAAGACTATTTTGTTTCTAATGTCTCAGCTTAGCTTTAAACCTGGGAGTAGTCCCATTTGACTTCAAAAAGAACATGGTGTTAAGGTACTAGTAAAATAGCAGATTACTGAGATCTATGTATGTAAAATCAAAATAGTTCTTTGAGGAAAGGATCTAACTCTTTCCTTAGACTGCGGAAGGTGAGTCGCATCAAGAAAATTATTTGCCTGATTTCTTTGGGGGGAGGGAGGGAGGCTGAATTCCTCATTGTTTGCAATCCTTTTAGTCAAGGAACTCAGGTAAGCTCCAGATCTATGAATAATGAGAGGAGGAGAGGGGCTCAGAGGGAAGGAAGGAAACCCCATCTAGTAGTGAGAACAGTCGTGGGAGGTGAAGGCTGTGGATTGTAAAACCATGCCCTACCTAGCAAAGGCTGCTGGGTAGGAGAAGCTTTCACTGGCCAGCGGTGAAGGGAGGGAGGGAGCTATGGCTTAGCCAGGGGAAGGGCAATGAGTGACCAGCTAAATACTTCCTAAAATCTGTGCTTACCTTTAATTGCTCATCAATAAAAACAAAACTTATACCTACTGGAGGTAGCTGGTGCAACCCATTATCATGCAATAGGATGATGACTGTTTAACTGACTAAACTTCTTAATAATGGTTCCTACCTGTCCTGGTTGTGCTTAGGAGAAATGCCAAATATTGACTGAGTATAGTTTCAATTATTTATTTACTTAGAAAAGCTGTTCTGCTCAAATATAGCAACATTTTTTTCCTACCTCCAACAAGAAACTAATTCAATGGTGCTTTTCCATTTTTAAAAAAAAATCACTAAGTAATAAATTCTGGACGGCTATAAGATTAACATCTTCAATTAAAATGTCCCAATAAAAATAAATAAATACATGAAATGGATAAAGAGAATGTAATTACATGATTGTCTTTTGCTGTCTTGATCAGTTGCTGTACAGAGGACTTCAGTTCATTTCCAGACATTGTAGACAACACTACAGAATACAACAGTGCTGCCAGCTCACGCATCTCTTCCTTGTTTGTATTCATCAGACTCTAAGTTTAAAAAAAAACCAAAAAAAACACGACAAAGATGGAACATACTTCACTGATGTTCTACCTTTAATACAGTAGCACACCGTTCAGATGCAACTACCCACCTACACTCCATATTTTACTCTAAAGTCTTTTTTACCCTTGGAGTATTATTATCATCACTAAGTAACTTGCTTAGGACCCAGTTCAGCAAAGCACTCATGTGCTTAGGTTTAAGCATGAATAGTCCTATTGCCCTCAAGGGGACTACTCACATGTTTACAGTTAGCATGGTGCTTAAATGCTTTGCTGAATCAGGCATTTAAAGAAGAAATTTCATGTTCCCCAGCCATAAGGAGCTAATAACTGCATGGAATTGTACAAGACAACAATTCCATAGTGCCACAGAGTAGGTTTTCCTTTCGTTTGCTCTTTCCTCTTCACTTGATAAAAAGAAAAAGAGCTGAAGAGATTAAACCTACTTAATGCAAAGGCTGCAAATGTCACAGACACTGAAGTCAAGAAATGGAAAAGTCACAGTTCTCACAGCAACGTTCATTCACCTATGTTGTTTGTATGTGGTATTTTTTTATTACCTAGACTGTTAAAAAGGTCTGGTTATTATGGCAACGTTAGCATAACAAACATAATATAAACATTTGTTTCCTGATTTGTGTTTTTAAGTTTATAGCCTATTTGCATTTAACTCCACACACACGTTTGTATGTGTGTAGCAAGAGAGAAATGCAAAAAGTAGGGGTATAAACTTAAACAACATTCTTAGGTCACCTGAATCCTTCCATCTGAATTTTGTGTACACACCCACACCCCCCCCCCCCCCCCCCGCAAGGGGAAGGGGTCGGGGGCGCTGTTGGGGGGGGGGGGGGGGAAGGGGGGGGAAGAAGTTGATCACTACCAGAATACTGCCAATGGAGTTATATAGCGTGATTCAAAACTTACAGCAGTATATTAGACTGCCCTCCACCTACCCACCTCAAGAGAGCTGCCAGAGCAGTTCCTCTCACTGGTAGATTCTTACAGGGTGAAGTCATACCCATGAACTACCAAAGAACAGAACTACTCTGACAGAAGTGAAAGATCTGGCCCTCAGGGTATGTCTACACTGCACTAAGACACCGGCAGCTGGCCCACGTCAGGTGACTTGGGCTTGCGGGGATCTGGCTATGGGGCTGTTTAATTGCTGTCTAGATGTTTGGCTTGGCCTTTAGGCTGGGATTTGGAACCCAGGAGGGGGAGGGTTCCAGAGCCTGGGCTCCAGCGCAAGCCTGAATGTCTACACTGCAGTTAAACAGCCCTGTAGCCCAAGCCTGAGTCAGCTGTCACAGGCCAGCCACAGCTGTTTAACTGTCGTGTAGCCATACCCCTCAGAGTCTACCAATGTGAGGAACACAGGGTATGTCTACACTGCAGCTGGGAACATGCTCTCCAGCACAAGTAGACAGACAGGCGCTAGCTCTGCTTGAGCTAGCACACTAAAAATAGCCGTGTAGCTGGAGGTAGCATGGGCAGCAGCTTGGGCTAGCTCCCTGGGTATGTACTTGAGTGGCTAGCCCGAGCCACCACCAGTGCTATCCCCGGCTACAATGCTAATGTTAGCCTGCGAGCTCAAGCACAGCTACCACGTGTCTATCAACCCACGCAGGGAAGCACACTCCCAGCTGCAGTATAGACGTGCACTTAGTAGCATCAGTTCCTACCTAAAACTATGACTTAGCAAACATATAGCCGATCACAGAGTAATGAACTGAAAGAGAGAGAACTCTTTGAACAGTGCAAACGAAACCCGCAAGAGACATAGGAAATAAAAATGCAGCAAAAAAGAATCTCTCACTCCTCAAGAGAGTACTGATCATCTAATCAGCTACCTGGGAAATTATTAGGTCTTGAAAGGCCAGATTTTGCAAAGGTGAACAGAAAAAAAATCCACATGTGTATGCAACGTACCTTTATCCAATCTATTTTGTCTGCAAATCTGGTAGCTAGTTTTTCTGGATACACCGAAACAACTTCTAGAAGACAGTACATGACTGGCAAACCTAAAGTGTAATTAAAGAATCAAGTTTTGGAAAATGAAATACAATTTTTTCTATTTACAACTAATGGAAAAAACAGGCAGATAATGCTGCATCCAACAGTTTAATGCAAATTTAAAATATCTCAGATAATATGGAATGTCAAAGTCATAACTTTATTTCTGAGTACTCTCTCTCTTATGGATGTCAGACAGGCAAATAGTTAGTATGTGAATGCATATTTCTAGTAAACCGTTTTAAAGGTACACCAGTAGTTTGTGACGAAACTTTAAATTGCCTCCGATAGCTGATGAAGAGTGTCGTTCTACAAGGGCACAGGCACGGACTTTTGTTTTTGCCCGTGGGTGCTCCCCTCCCCTCCCCTGTGAGTGGTGGGCGGGGCCTCGGAGGGAAGAGGCGGGACAGGGGCACTGGCAGGGCCTCAGGGGGCAGGCCACAGTCCAGGCATCGGGGCACACAAAAGATTAATCCAGCCCTGTGGGTGCCGAGCACCCCCTACTTTTTTCAGTGGGTGCTTGAGCCCCGGAGCACCCATGGGGTTGGCGCCTATGTACAAGGGAACTGTTCAAGTGTGCAAAGACTGTAATAAACACTGATAATGACCTGGAAATTCTGACACCCCAACCTTGTGGCACTCGCTCTCTCTCCTTAACCCCTTTCACAATTGTGTGCGAGGGAATAACTCTAAACCACAAACTGGGATAGGACAGTTTGGGTTAGTTCTCATTACAACCTATGGTCACTGAAGCGAAGTTCAGGGTATTGAGTATGCTTGGCCAACGCTCATTCATAAGTTATAGAAAGAGCTTTTCTTCTTTCCTCAGCACCATGGCCTATGGTTCCTCACCTCCAACCCCAGACAACAGCTGCTGAAGAAGGCCAATATAGATTTGCACTGGGTTGGTTTCTCCACTTTTTGAGGAAGATGACGATGAGGAGGAAGATATGAAATTGCCAGACAGGAGGTTTCTGATATAACGGCCAATTGCTGGAGCATGGTCTTGCATGTCAGCTAAGTTCTGAGAGGATGGCACCACACCTGCGCTATGCGCAAGACACATTCGCAGGTACAGGACTATCTAAACAGAGAAGAGAACAAGATAGGGTTAAAGGTATTTCACAGGGAAACAGGAGTCAGATCCAGCAGGCCCCCCGGCCGTCAGCCCCTCTAGTCGGGTGCAACCAAAAATGGTAACTCAAAGGGGGTGCTCAGCTCAAAAAAGTTTGAAAACTGCTGGATTAAGTCATACGGGTCAAATACAAAGGTGCTTCTAAACTGGAGTAACTTGCATCTTTTCTCAGCCAGTTCAGCATGTAAGTTACACCAATTTAGCGTCCCTTAGCCCACGTTGTGTAAGTAACACATCACCTCTGAATTTGGTTCATTGAGACTAAGGCTCATCATTGACATCAGGACCACCCTACCTGCTACCAAGCTATATGAGCAATGTCTCGGGGGTGCAGTATCTTCTGCCTTTGATTTCCCACTGTTGGGGGAGGGGGGGGAAGACCGTCAGTGCCTTCTTTTGTGAGGTTAGGATGCCAGGTGTGTGCAAGGAGGCATGGTCAACACATCCTCCTCAGAAAACCATCCCTTAACCATGACACACTAACTACTGAGCTACCTCAAATCTCCCTTTTTAGGGAAGATTATTGAGGAGGTTGTGGCAAAGTCAGTCAGGTAAACTCCCCAGAATTCCTTAAAGAACTGAACCGAGATTGCCTGAGTCCCAAGTCAGTGCCTGACATCCTATCACCACTGTTCTCCCAGTGTCCCATAGGTTAAATAATGACATGTAAGAATGTATCACTATTGCCGTGAGACAGACACAATTACCTCTCCAAACGTAGCAGGATTGAAAGGCAGGACTGCAGTTCCGGTCATGTATTTAGCAGGAGTTTTCATTCGGTGAGAGGCCTAAACAAACAAACACATATATTTAGCAGGGGTACACGCCAGGCTGTAAATGGCGCACATACTTAGTAATAATCTTTTCTGCTGCAACTAATTGTACCACTATCTTCCACTCAGCAAATGTAATTATAAACAAAACACTGTGCATTTGCATAATGCAGCTAACCAGAAGATCTCAAAAGTGCGTTAGAATCATTAATTAAGGCTCACAACTAGAGCTGGAATTTCCTTCCACAGGAAAACCTAGAAACTTCAAAAAAAAATTATTAAAAAAAAAAACCCAACACATTTCAAAAATTTCAAACCAAATTCCAAAAAAGCTTCCAAGCTTGGAGACTGCCAGCTCAGGCTAGCAAGAAGCCAGGAAGCTTAGGAACCAGCAGGAAACCAGCCTGGTTTCCCCTGGAAACTCATCAAAATCAACACATTCCCACAGAATCTTTCAATTCTGACAAATCAACATCTTCCAAGAGTAAAAGGTTCCGTCAGACAAGCTTCCAACCAGCCCTACTTTCAGCACCCCAATAAGGTCGGCAGATATTAGTTTATCAGCATGTACGATGACTCTAGGCCTGGATTCAACAACTGTGGAATCAATTATGTCCACAAATTCTTTGCTTAATTGGGGCCCTAATGAGGCACAGACAGCTTAAGCAAGCGTCCAAAGTCAAATGAGTGGAAGACTTTGGATCAGAGCCCATTACTCCAGGCTCTGGAAACACTGGATCTTACTCCTCCTTTAAATTTAGTTCTCTAGACTTTGAAGACAAGAGTTAAGCTCATTTATGTAGGGAAGTCATTTTGCACACTGATCCTGGCCGTAAAGTGTTCTTATATGGACCAGCTCCACCACATATTTATTATTCACCACTTGCATATGAAAAACAAACACTTAAAGTGTCTCAGCAAAGGGGAAAAATTAGTCTTGTATCCTTTGATGCTTCTGTTAAAAAAAAAAAGACCCGAATAATGGTGGGGGTGTGGACAGGGGGTTCTCCTGTTTGTTTTTCACACTAGAAATTCAGGTCATATCAAAGCTGAAGGACTCTGCGATCCCAAGTGAAGTGGTGACATCACGAGAGCCAAGAGAACAAAAAAGGGAACTGAAAGGGAAAGGGATTTTTAGTCACATTGATGAAAATTCTGGGGGGGTTTCTGAACACCTATTTAACTGGAACGACTCCTATTTTGGATAAAGGAAGATTTTGCTAGAGATTCAACACCATCGCCCCTCAGTTCAATGACATTTGCTGAGGATGCAAAGTTGGGGGGTATTATCCATACAGAGGCGGATCGGAATATTATACAGCAGGACCTTGAAGACTGGAGAAACAGAAATGGGATGAAATTCAATAGCACAGAGTGCTTAGTGTCTAATAAGAATTTCTGCTACAAGCTGGTGGTTCATTCGTTGGAAGTGACAGAGGAGGAGAGTGACCTAGGTGTACTGGTCAATTACAGGATAACTATGCGCAACCAATGTGATGCAGCTATGAAAAAGGCAAATGGGATTCTAGGATGTATCAGGAGAGGCATTTCCAGTGGGGATAGGGAAGCAATAATGCCATTGTACAAGGCACTGGTAGGACCTCACTTGGAATACAGGGTACAATTTTGTTCACCCATGTTCAAGAAAGATGAATTCAAACTGGAACAGGTGCAGAGAAGAGCAAGTAGAATGATCACGGCCAATGAAGGACCTATCTTATGAGATGAGACTGGAAGAGTTCGGCTTGTTTAGCTTAGCAAACAGTGTTGAGAGGGGATATGACTGCTCTCTAAAAATACATCAGGGAGAGTGAAGAGCTATTTAAGCTAAAGGACAATGCTGATACAAGAACAAATGTGTATAAACCAGCCATGAATTTATCTATGTGCCTAAATCTCATGCTTCAGGACTTCAGCCAGTTACCTGCAGGGGATCAGGAAGGAATTTTCCTTCAATGCATTCTGGGTTTATTTTAATCTCCCTCCTCTGAAGCATCACAGCTGGCCAGGGTTGGAGATGAGCCACTGGACAGGATGGGCCAGGGCTCTGAGGTTGCACCGAGCATTCTCTCTCTCTCAGGTACCTGGCTAACTGGTTCTTGCTTAGATGCTCAGGGTCTGATCATCATCTGTGGGGTCAAGAAGGAATTTCCCCCAGGTTGAACTGGCAGTGACCTTAGGGGTTTTCGCCTTCTTCTGCAGCACAGAGTGCAGGTCACTTGCCGGGATTATCTGGATACATCCCAATCATTTTCCTGCCATTACAGGGACCTTGGGCACTAGCGCACCTCAGTCCCTCCCATGCTCTGCCTGGGGCACATAATATAGATTCGTTTCCTATGGGCTGCAATAGTTTTGTCTAATTCCATTTGTTGCGTTCAGTGTGCTGGCGTTAGTGGCCTGCGGTATGCAGAAGGTCAGACTAGATGACCTGGTGGTCCCTTCTGGCCTTAAACTCTATGACTATGACATTGAAGTGTCAGCTGTCACAAACATCCCTGAGACCTTCCAGAAGTCCTGCTATAAAGGCAGTTAAGTCCCAGTTTGACATCCCTGATATTCCTAAGGAAGAAAAAAACATGCAGAAAAAAACCCTTTTAAAACAAAAGTCATTTCAGACTTTATACTTCATAAGAAAAGCGAAGAAGGGCACAAGCCCATTATTTAAATCCGTACAGGTCACCTTTAAGTGCATACGGAGGGGAACAAACTGCTAGAGCAGCATGTCATGTCAGGCCCTGGGGCATCTCCCACTGTAGGACTCATGACATGTCACTCACACAGTCAGTATTTTCATTTTTCCACTGAGTTACTATGAAGAGGATTAATTAAGCCTTTGAGTTAATAGCAACCTCCTTCATTTGTTCCATTTTCTAACGCTTTTATGTGCTGTACAATATATTCCTCCCTTTCTCTGGGTCAGCCAACACATGGTCTTTGTTCCTTTAAGAATGGTTTGTGTGAAGTCACTGCTTGTGTAAGGTGCTGGATGACCGGCCCTGGAGATTGAACTCCCCCCACACAACTGATTCAACACAAGCAGCAGCGCAAGCTTTCCCCGCTGACCTAAGGGTGGTTATTTCAAAGGACCAGTTTCCATAGCCCTGCTTAACCCTCAGTTTCTTTGCCAAGGGTGCCAGTAATGGTGCCTATTGGGACCAACTGAGAGGGAGGTTCTTGCAATCTCAAATCTGCTCTTTCCTCAAACTTCAGCTAACACCACTGCCTTGGGGGTAAAAAAGCCTGCAATCATTACAAGTCTTGCCGCAGTGCTGTACCTTGTCTTGAATGTAATGGACCATTTCTGGGAAGGAAGGCATCTGTTTACCAGCACTCTCCTTTTCATTTTTACCAGGAAACATTCTCAGTACGCGCTGGGCTTCTCCATGCACCTCCTCTCGTCTTTCAAGGGGAAAAATGAGAAAGGAAAGTCATTTGCACACGAGCACAGAGCGAATGTTATTTAACAAACAACAAGTGCATTTCTTGGGGAGAGAGAGGGCTTTTAAGGAAAGAAGCTTTTTTAAACACTCCAGAGAAAGAAGCTTTTTTAAACACTCCAGAGAACCAGCTGCAGGTTACAGAAAATAAACAGCTTTTTGATTCTGGAAGAAAGGAGATTGGATGATAAGAGACTTTCTTGGCTTACATATCACAGTGTTCTCAATCTATCCAGCACCATCCCCATCTTACCAGGCTAGCATCTTAACCAAGCTATACAAACTGCCTTCAGTTTCCAGTCTTTCTACTCCCCCACCCTAGAAGTTTTGTTTTCCTCTCTTCACCTCTTCTTTTTCACCATTTTATGGCCCTGCCCTTAGCTGACCCATTGCCAGTCCTCTCACGAAGTGCTTATCTGAACCAGCAGTTCCCCGGGCATCACTAACCCAATGCCGTGCAAGACACGTTAGCTGCAACTGATTTACTTAGCTTGATTTAATTATATGATGGTGTGGTAAATCAAAGCTTGAGCACTTCAAGTTTTGACATTGTCAGTCCATCCTTACCCCACTTTGTTTTTCTGGTTTAAACTAAAAGACAAAAGTACCCTGTGAAAGATTTTGATTTCTCTTCTTCCTCCCTAGCTTGCCAAGATAAGGCAGAGCTTCAGGTCTCTGCAAGTTTGCCATTACTGCTACAACACAATGGCCAATTTCCAAACAACTGCATTGAATTTTTTATTTATTTTAACCCAGATGCAAAGTTAACACCTCCTGAAACTTACGGATCTCCTGCAGCTAAAAGCAGTAAGTATCTGGAAGGGATGTGATCTGAAGGGAACACTGTGCTTGCAAATTTCACGGCCACCTGACGCACTTGGACTTCAGGCTTAAAAAAAAAAGTCCTCATTAGCCCATCACAACAAAAAGCTTTTTAAACAAAGGCAATTGCATGAAAGAAAAACCTTAAGATGAACCTAAACAGTTGTTTCAACAATAAAAAAAAAGTTTACTTCAGTTGAAGAAGGAAATAATTGTTTTGCCCCTACAAGTTATGGATCTAGACAAATTAGACGTATGTGTCTGTACAGTATCGCCTCAGTGGGTCTTGATCTTGGTTGGGGCCTCTAGTTTCTACTATAATGCAAACAATAATTTGCAGCCAAAACAAAGGATTTCCATGTGGTGTGCGTGCAAACAGATATCTCAATCATCTTCACTTTAGATCTGACCCAATTAAGCCAAAAGTAATTATGGAGGTGCAAGGAAACATGGAAGTGCATTTGGAAACATATCTAGTCATAGCAACCACTGTAAACGTAATTAGCAACATCCTTTTTCATAGACATTTTGTGACAATTCCTATGGAAAACAGTGGCTGTACTTGGGATTTAAAAATTTTCTTCAAGATCAGAAGAGGTCAGAATACTTCCTTCTATTGTGTTACACACCGTTCTGTGTTACTTCTGCCCCAGAGGGACAAACACAGTCCTGTGACGTTTCCAATCCTAAACTGGTACCGAAGTGAAGAGAACACAACACTGAAGTAGCTACTTAAATGAACACCGAAAAGGCTGTTGTACTTGAAATTGACCAGCCTTAACAGTATTCTTATCTGGTACAGTACTGTGTCTCAACCCCTGCTCGGGCAATTCAAGGCCACCTCTCTAAACCAATACTTAGTGCAGCAAGACACAGAAAAAACACCACCAGTTTTTGCAGTAAGCACAGCGAGAATAGTTAAATGTGTAATTACACACACACACACTATTAGGAATCATGGGCCATGATCTCAAACCCTTAATCATCTCAGCAGTTACAAAACAAGAATTTGCAGGATTAGACCATAATAAATAGAACAGTAGCCAGAGATGAAAAAAAGAACTATTCGCTGAGTGAGTCCCAGCCTCTCTACAAGGTCTGGATAGAATCTCCAGAGGTAGGACAGACTCTTTCTTAAAAGAATACTGTCTTGAGGCCCAGATATCTAGAATTGCAAGGGCAAAACTGTCATGCATTTGTACACCTAGTTTTGCACAGGTAAATGTGTATGTCACAGGAAAGGCATGCACAACTATCCATACAATTGCAGAACCTCCAGGTGCATATTAGCTGCACTACTAGCAATTCTGAAAAAGACAGGCCTGGATACAGGGAAATTTTGAAGAAAAAGAAAGGTGCACGGATATCATTATTCCAGTCACTAGAACATTTTCAAATCATTTCACTTCATGACATGGAAAGCCTCTGCATAGATGTAACAGTACAAGGAAAATGGAAGAGCGGAACATCTCTAACAAAACATAGTGGAGACAGTGTTAGAGATTAGAGCTGAGTGAATCATTGATTTTTTTCGTTCGTTTCATGCCAAAAAACAGAATTTGGGTGGGGGAGGGGAGGGAGTTCCTTGATGAAATTAAAAACAGAAAAAAAGAGTATTTGGGTCATACCACGCGGATCTCTCTTCTTTTAAAAAATGATATTTATCTCTAATAAAATACCTTTATTAGGTATGAAGCCACAAGAGCCTCCATAAGCGTACGCTGTGCTCCTTCCAAACTACTATATGCTCCAACCATCATAGACAAGGCCTCCTGAATAGCAAGTCTGGTATCAGGCTCTTCCTGCAATATGAAAACAAGAGGATTCATTACTCTCCAATCTGTCCTCCCAAACAGAGCATTAAAATAATGACCTTCTCCCAAACCCATGTTATCACCTACCTTGCACAAAGCTTCAAAAAACTGCTGGACAAGAGCTATGTCCTTGGTAAACAGCTGAGGCATTCGACTGGAATAGAATCATTTGAGTAGGTTTTTTAAAAAGAATTTGAGAGCAAAACCATATCCATACTCTGCATTTCACTTCCCTCGTCTCTTTGCAACTCACCTCTACCTCCAACCATAACCTCCACCACTGGGCAATTATTCCCATTAACAACCACTCAGCGTGGCTCAGAAATCAAGACATTCTATGAAACAGCCAATTTGATAACCAGTTTGGAGGGTCCACTTTTGAACACACAGCTCACGGAGTTCATGTGTGCTAACCTCCGCTAAAAATCATAAATTAACAAACCCGCAGCAATCTAGAGAAGAGAACCATTATTAGATCCTCTCTGCATGCTTCCATGAACGACCATCAGTCATTCCTAGCAGAACGATCCACCACCACCATGTTTCATTTTACAGATGCAGAGATGACAAAAGACAGTGCTTCTCTACACACTGTGCTCTGTTGCAAATGGCCATCTGGCACGACACTAACTCGCCTGCCTGCTGACAGAGTTACAAATTGCTTTGGAAAAAATTTCTGACATCCCATTACTTAAAATGCGCTTTAGTTACCTGGAGAGTTTTCCAACAGCTGAATAGGCCATTGACAGCAGTTTGGGGTCCTTGAATTATAAAACAATGAAAAGCCAAGTCAGCAGAGAGAGCCAGGAGAGAGAGAGAGAGAGAGAGAGAGAGAGAGAGAGAGAGAGAGAGAGAGAGAGAGAGAGAGAGAGAGACACACACATACCTATCCCTTATAATTATGCCATTACTTTATATCCTGTCTCCTCACCTTTGAAACATAGAGCCCCAGAAAATAATCAAATCCCAGAGCAAAGCACCTTGTAAACGAAGAACAGATGCAGTACGTTCTTCCCACAAAAACAGAAAATTACGCCAAAAAAGCTGCCTTTATCTTTCAAGAAAGAAAAACTGCTGGGATTTGCTAGGTATGTGAAATGGCCAGCAAGTGACACACACCTTCCACTGACCCCAACCAACTTCCAGCAGAGCCTGTCACCCGTCACACAACAGTGTCAGGGTCCCCGGGCTAACAATTATTTAAAAACTCTTTGCTCCGGTAGCACCCATCCAACCACTTAAATGCACCCCGACCACACCCTTCGTAAGGAAAGTAAAGGCCCACCCCACTCATATCAGTACACCTCATCTGACAGCCTTATTGGAGTCACTTATTGGGACAATCTGCACTAGGAAGGGGTTTGCATGATCAGGCACTGGTAACGTGCTTTAGAAAAGTTTGCTTTATGAAATGACACTGGGAAAACCTGCATCGTGTTTTGGGCCAGAGTACGACACCCTTAGTTATGGCTGGTAGTACCTGTTGAAATGATACCATCCCAACCGTACCCTACCCCGCCTTGGGTCCCACTGACTTCACATGGAGGAAGGTATTACTCAGGGAACGGCTAGACGAACAGCTAGTGTGTGGCAAGCTTGGGTGTCAATCAAACTCACCTGCTGTGCAATAACTGGCCATGTGGACACTGCTGCCGCGCACTAGCTGTCCGTCTAGCCGTTAGACAGAAAGCAGTTAGTGTGGGGTAGATTTACACCCGTTTGCCACGCACTGCGTGTTCACCTACACAAGCCCTCAGCCTGAGTTAGGGTATTGCAATCAGGCCCGTGCAGCGCCTAGCACGAAGGGGTCTAGGTCCATGACTGCAACTCCCAGGTGCTATCACAATAATCGCTGCGCGGCTACCCTGGCCCATCACCACTGACTGGAACTGCCGCACTATGGTTCATGGACACTCCACAAACACTATCAATGCACCTGACACAAGGGAGAGAGATTTAAATTATACACCCAGCATTTACTGGCAACCCTCCTATCCTTTCTGTTTTCTCCTTGCTTTAAGTAACGAGCATCTAATGCAGTTTTCTTTTGTTTACCAAACTCCCTCATGTCTCAGCAACATTAACATTCCTACATCCCCTCACCTACTCCTCTCACTGCCTCCCTGCCCTACTGCCTTGTTATTTTCCTGTCCTCACCACCTCCTCCTTCCTCTCCTCTCATCTGGGAGGCTTTTGGCATTTAAATTAGTAGTTAACAAAAACACCCCTGAATCAGAAGGTTCTTAAATGTGTCTGGCTCAACTTCGCTTGTTATCAAAACAAAAAAAATCTGTAAAAGGCAGCAAAGTGGTCTACCCAATGCAACCAGTCCTCCAGCCTGCGGACCACGCTCTACTCTGCAGCTCTTTATTTTTCAAACCCTGCCGGCTCACAGCCTCAGCTTTCCCTTTGCAAACTCAACCCAGAGAGGAGCAAGATGTTGCTGATGCAAAATGGAGAAGCATCCAGAGGACCTGACAGAAGCGGTTTCCGCACCCTCCGTTGGCAAGAGATGGACATACCCTTGCAACGTGGTCTACAATCTAAATTTGGCCCCTTGGCTGCTCCTGGGAGGTAAGCTACAATCGTGGCTACGTGCAGTCTTCTGCCTTTGTTAGGGCAGACGGTTGGAACTTATCCCTCCAATGCAGACTGCACACACTAACCAATGCTTTGTATTAAGCGATTGTATATTTCTGTATTAAGCTATTGCAATGCACTCTGCTTGGGACTACGCCTGAAGACCACTACATGGAAGTTTCATCAGGCAGTGAATGACATCAAGGTCATACTTAAAGTTATACATGTGCTTAAGTACCTCCCCAGATCTGGGCATGAGAGAATAAAGCCCCAATCCTGCAAACACTTACACATGTGCTAACTTCAAGTACACCTCTACCTCGATATAACGCTGTCCTCAGAAGCCAAAAGAATCTCACCGTGTTATAGGTGAAACCGCGTTATATCGAACTTGATTTGATCCGCCGGAGCGCGCAGCCCCGCCCCCCCAAGAGCATTGCTTTACCGCGTTATATCCAAATTCGTGTTATATCGGGGTAGAAGTGTACATGAATAGTGCCATGGAAATCTTGCAATCAACAGGACTACTCACATGCATGTGCATAAGTGTTTGCAAGACTGGGAGCCAAATGGCTTGCCAAAGGTCACACAGGATATTTATGGAAGAGTGGGGAATTTAGTCCAGGCCTCTTGGATCCCTGTTCAGTACCATGAGATCACCTTTCCTCTCTCTGGCCTATCTGCTGAAAATATTTCCTTATACATTCTTTTAAAATAAACATCATGCAAGAGCAATGAGGTATAAGAATCAGATCAGTTCAAATCAGACCAAATCATTTTTTTTCTTTTTTATAAATCTAAATAAATAAATCCTTGCAGTGCTGTTGTAGCCGTGTTGATCCCAGGATATTAGAGAGACATGGTGGGTGAGGTCAGAGCCATTCCTTGGGTAGGGCGAATCGGGGCGACCACCCCAGGCCTCGCGCTTCAAGGGTCCCCGTGCTTTGATAAAATCGGGACTGTCACGATATTCAGCCCTTTGGCCTGTGTCCCGACCGATTTAAGACCAGGATGCCATTTGTCCCGATATTCAGGTGAGGCAGGAGGGCGAGCGGGGTGGGGAGGCAAGCAGCAGGTGGGGAGAGAGGCAAGCAGTCGCCTAGTGGACAGTGAGGAGATGAGCGGGGAGGGGGATTTGTCCCGGGTCCCACACCACCCTAGGGATGGCCCTGAGTGAGGTAATACCTTCAGCAAAAGTTGGTCCAATAAAAGGTATTGGACCAACTTTTGCTGAAGGTATTACCTCACCACATTGTCTCTCTAAGGGTATGTCTACACTACCTGCTGGATTGGCGGGCAGCGATCGATCCAGCGGGGACTGATTTATCGCATCTAGTCTAGACGTGATAAATTGACCCCCGAGCCCTCTCCTGTCGACTCATGTACTCCAGCACCGCGAGAGCAGAGTCGACAGGGGAGCGGCAGCAGTCAACTCACCGCAGTGAAGACACCACGGTAAGTCGATCTAAGTATGTCGACTTCAGCTACATTATTCACATAGCTGATGTTGCGCAACTTAGATTGATTCCTCCCCCCTCGCGTAGACCAGGGCTAAATAAATAAATGTGACTCTACAACAAAGAACCTTTCAACTCACCTCTTTGTATTCATTAATCAGTTTCGTAAGCCCATTTAAAAGCATTGGGCCTAGTGGCTTTATTTTACTTTCTGGACAACTGGAATTTAAAAGAAAACGTGTTAAGATATATTCTTTGCACCTCCTACAGTCCGATACCAAAAACCGATTGCTTTCTATAACTGCCATCATCATCTTCTCTGTTCTGCCAGTATTACAGCTTAACATACAAAAAGATATACAATATTTTTAAAAAACCCATGTGCAATAGAATTAAATATTCTTTGTCTTCAGCACAACTGCATATTTACCATACAAAGCTGTCTCTGTAAATCGCTTGAAATAGTTTTGCATCTATTACCATAAACCATCTAAGGTGCTTACCTTGTACAAATATGATGTACAAACTGCAGGGACAGAGTTCTCAGTTTCGTGTTTGTATTTGCACCAAAGAGTCCATCATATACCACCTGGTGGGAAGCATGAGAAGATCGGATACAGTGACTGGTTTAATTTTCGAATATTATTTGCATTCCCTTCCTTCCCTAGCTATCATATGCAATAGTTAAGTTTCAACCCTTTCCTAGGCACTGGAGGAATGATACAATTATAGTAGATATGTTATGAATAGCTGCTGTGGAGTGAAGGTGTCACCTGAATGTTAGCTGGGAATGTTTCTGCAGCTTGTCTGGAACGCAGAAGATGAGGAACAATCTTTAATTTAACCCGGGTGCTGACTGGATCTCGTTTCAGTTCTGGCTTCAGAACAACTCCCTGTCAGGAACAAGATGGAAGATATTTCTTTGGCTGTGGCTACTACTACTTGATTGTTAATAATTCATGAAAGTGTGTATTTTTTTCAAAAAAGAAAAAAAAATATTTATTCAACTGCCAAGTCAGCAGAGAGAGCCAGGAGAGAGAGAGAGAGAGAGAGAGACACACACACACACACACACACACACACCTATCCCTTACAATTATGCCATTACTTTATATCCTGTCTCCTCACCTTTGAAACATAGAGCCCCAGAAAATAACTGCAACTGCTCGGCAAAAACAAAGATCAAAGGAAGTGACAAACTAAAAATGGATGCTTTGTCCAGCAAATAAACCACGGCAAATAAAATAAGATCCTCATGAATAAAGCAGGAACACAGCTCTGGAAGCAAGTCTTACCTCTTTAGTTTTCAGTGGTATATCCCCGAGGTACACTTTGTACATTTTGTTGACGATAGTAGGATTATTCCAGTCAATTAAGCTAAAGAATTGTTAAAGGAACAAGTTAAAATTATGCCTTAATTATTTACAAATATATTTTACAGCACTGTGTAATGTTTTGAAGGGGAAAAAAACTAAATCTAATTAGCTTCAAGTGCAGTCTAATTTCACCCTCAGCCCACCTACAATCTGCAGTCATGAGGTAAAGAATTACAAGCAAGTCCTCACAGCCAGGTACTCCACAGATGGATTTTTGCTTCCCAAATAAGCAATGAAAAAACCCCCCAGTAGCTCCCTTCTCTTCCTTTCCCACGAAGTGCGGGGGATGTGAATTTAGTGCTGGGGGGGGCAGCCCAAGTGACTGCCCTAGAAAACAAAGACTTCTGCTTATCCACAAAACTGGTCTGGCATGGGCAGTAAGGACCACAAGTTTCTTACCATTGCGCCTTGACTCTGACCTGGCTGGGACACTCCTACAGGGGAGAAGATACTTCAAGCTCCAGGCCCATTCATCCTGGGCCTCTCCGATGAGACTGTCAACCAGGAGGACAATCGCTATGGTGGTTTTAGCAATAGGGACCCTTGTAAGCTGGGAAATGGATTTAGTCCAAACCCATTTAACACAGGCCAACAAACAGCCAGCTGATCAGAACAACTTTGTCACTATAGACCTGAGCTGGGCTTGAATCACTGACCTAGGACCTTTCACCCCAGTGTCCTATGTTGTCCTTTGAACAGTGGCGTCCACAGCCAAATGAGCCAAAAAAATAACTGGGGGGGGGGGGGTAATCAAGGAGAAGGGCACACACATTTTTGCCTATAACAACTGAGCCCTAAACATGGGGTTAACATATGGCACATCTAGCAGCTGCATACATAATGTAAGATGTGTTTAAACAAACGTGTTTTATGCTGAGGCAGTTCTTAGGGCTCACAATACCACCGTAAGGGGAGTGAACAACCAGGTTCTAAAGAATGGAGTCATTTTCTCAACCAAATTATTCCAATGAATTAAAATAATCTCTCTGGCCATGACTGAGGTGCACTGGAGAAGGCGTCACGTGACTTGCTTATGCTGTACTTGGCTCAAACCAATACTATTTAGCCCCACACTATCAGCAGTACAGAATTCATCCACACATTCAAAAGGCTGACCAATCCAGCTCCAATAATAAGGAAGTCAGTTTGTGTATGCTCCAACCACAAGCTGCATGAACACCAGGCTGCCTCCTGTGTGAACGGAGCAGCCTCTGCTTAGCAAGTGACTCAGCAAATAGCCGTAGCAACTACATCTGCCGGCCTGAGGTAAAAAACACAGATTTTCCTCCAGGAGGAGCATTATTTCCAGCCAGCATTGGCTGGGGAGGAGACAGTCATCATGCAAGATGATGGGTTAACAGAAACCTTGCTGCTGCTGTTGTGGAAGAGGACAGCCCAGGGCAATGCTGAAGTGATTAACCAGCGGGATAAATGTCCATTGCCAGAAAGTGGTGTGGCTTTCCCATTTGATAAACTCGCTGTCCCCTCTCAGCCTGTACCCTTTCAGGATCACTACATCAATTGCAATTATTATTATTAGAAATGCCAGTGCCCAATTCTTAAACAGAAGCCATTACCTTTGTTTGCTTTTCAGTTCCAGGTCTGCCGCAGTGGCTACACTGTGTCGTGTGTCGCTGGAGGCTATTACCAGGTGTATGACGGCTTCAAGCTCTGGTACCTGCTCAGCTTCAATGAACTTTACTATTCCCAGTTTACACTGCTCCGCAACGCAGAAGAGAAAGTAAAAATTACTGACCAGCCGACGTGCTACATTCATGTCAAGTTTAGCAGACCGAAATCTGGGCCTTTTGTAATCCTAGAGAGAGAAACTCTCACTCTTTCCATCTCCTCGGCATGCCCTCAGCTGAGAAGCTAAGCTTTCTAGGTGGCAAAGAGTTATGTGAAACCTCCACTGGAAATGAACTGAGAGAAGAGTTCAGAAACTCGATTACATCTAAGAGAAAGACACAGGCGAGGACAGAGCTCAGCTGGGCATTTACTAGCAAGTTCTGAAAATATGTTTTAAAGTTAGAAGGATAGTGGCAGCCTTAGACCTCTGTCTCACTCTCACCATTTGTAGGTGCTTTAATGCATGAAGTGCAGGTTTCAAAAGAACGTGCACATAGACTACAGACACCTAGTCAGGCACCGTGTGCTTTACACACAAGCTGGGCAAGCCATTTTTTGGAGTGAATTCTACATTTACTTCCACACCAACGTGCATTCCTTGCATGTTGCAGCCATTGTACCCACCAAGTCGTTTTACTGAAGTTCCCGTTTCATACACCTGCATAGCCCACGTGATTTGCATTACCTGTTCCAGCTGTTCAGGTGTCCATGGGCTATCTCCAATTACCCGCTTGGCTGCGTAAAAGCTCATCCCTGGAGGAGGTTGAGGGATCCCCGAACTTCCAGCACTACTGGATGCAGAAGAGCCCTGTGCCGATGGCACATTTTGGCGACTCTGGGATTCATTCAGTACGTATCTGGAAGGAAAAAAGGAACACTTGAGTGGACTTATTAAACTACCCTATGAACTGAAGTCAATTCCTCATTACAAGCACCTAAAGAGATCAAAATAAATATCACTCCTCCCTCCCCCTTAAATATTATTTTTTGACCATATTGTGACAGGTTCGGTCACAGAAACCCCCTTGGGACTGTCACCTGATGTGCTGAAACTATCTCTGAGCCCGTCTTCCCTTCCAGCTGGGACTTCAGAGTAATACTTCATATTTCTAGCTTCAGATACAAGAATGATACATTCACACAAATAGGATGAACACACTCAGTAGATTATAAGTTCTGTAATGATACCTTACAGGAGACCTTTTGCACGAAGCATATTCCAGTTACATCATATTCACACTTATAAACATATTTCCATAAAACATATGGAGTGCAACATCTCATATATACATAAGACAGACTATTTAAACACACAGCAGAGCCTTGCCAAGTTGCATTAGTGACAGGGAGAGCAACTGCAAGTTACAGGTTAGCCTGTAAGCGAACACAACAGTGCATCACAAAATGTAGTTTGTTAATTGAGCGAGTAGTTCAGATGATTCTTCCCAGCATAACAGTCGGTCTGCTATCGTAAATGCTGCAAAAGGAACAAAGGCCCAGTAACTCCAGGCTTCCCAATAACGCTCTGCTAGTAAATGTTTGTTGAGAGAGGAGAGGGATAGCAGGGGTTTTTTGGTGACCATTAGCAGGTTAGTGATCGGTGAATTAAGACTTAATGAGGTTCTGCAGTGTTAGAATGCAACACCCAGTAAATACAGTATTTGATAAACTCTTATACAAGTACTAACTGGAGCCTGTATGAGGGGGGTTGGACTAGATGACCTCCGGAGGTCTCTTCCAACCCTAATCTTCTATGATCCCCTCAATCTCACAGAGGAGGCTGGGATGCATGAAAACACATAGAAGGCATAAAGCAGGCCTCCTTCTGCTCAGGGGGCAACCCCGAGATGTGAAGAGAGGGGAGAGCTGTGGTAAAAAACAAAAAAACAAACACCCCTTGGAAACAGCCCATCTCTGCAGTGTTGATAGAGGAGACAGGCAACAGAATTCAAATTCTCAGGCACTCAGAGGTTGGGGGCTCCGGCCCTGGTCTTCATAGGGTACATCGACACTGGAACTTTTTATTTTTTTTATTTTTGGAGATATCCCATCTCCTAGAACTGGAAGGGACCTTGAAAGGTCATCGAGTCCAGCCCCCTGCCTTCACTAGCAGGACCAAGTACTGATTTTGCCCCAGATCCCTAAGTGGCCCCCTCAAGGATTGAACTCACAACCCTGGGTTTAGCAGGCCAATGCTCAAACCACTGAGCTATCCCTCCCCCCAACCCTGGAGGTTTCGTTTCCAGCATAGTAGGGATATTGACGCTAGCTCAGGTAAATGTTCCTGCACTAGCCCGGATGGAGCTCATATGCTAACAACAGTAGCGTAGCTGGCCACCGAGTACAAACACACCTAGGACCTAGGTACTTACTCGTGCGGCTAGCCCATCCCACCGCCTGCGCTGTCACGGCTGCACTGCTATTTGCATCATGCTAGCTCCATCAGTTAAACACGTACGTCTACCTGCCCTGGAAGTTACACCTCCAGCTCCTGTGTTCACGTATTCTCCAAAAGTAACCAGCCAAGTCTTTCTGCGAGCACCCACACGCACTCCTAGGGGCCAGGGTAACAGCCACTCCCCCCGTGTGCTGAGGAGCCAGCTAAACCAATCAGAACATGAGAACTGTGGCACAGAGACCAAGGTGAACAATTTGCTATTGCTCTGAACAACCAGAATCTGCTGTGGCAGAAAACGATCTCAGCAGTGCAGGCGACTGCTCATCCCAACTCTAGAGCATGATCTTTGACGTACAGAGTTTAAACAACTGTGTGATTTGGGCCTTTAAGCCCTTTTTTAAAATCTTGCTGCAAGCTGGAGCCTCCAAGAAACGTTTAGCACTAAAATTTAAGGAGACAAAACAATCAAGCAACTATGCAGTAGGCTACTGGGAACAGAGACCTGGTCATTCACTCCAAGATTCAGTTCCAGCAGAAGTTCAGATCAGAACATAGTAAAGGAAACAGCTTGTAACAAAATATCACCTATAGAACAGGAATACAAATCCTTCTACTGCCTGATCAATAGCCATAGCTTTATACTGGGATATTCCTTCCCCCTCCAGGCTGCACCACTAAATACAACAGAACGTAATAAGGGTCTATTTAGACAGCACTCATTCCTGATAGATTTATCAGCATAACGGCTTCAGTACACGTGGACCAAATCCGACCTGTGAAGCATAATCACAGAGCAAGTTCCACCGAGCAATTTTATGCCAAGAAGGGTAAATCAAAGTTAAAACAGGCTATGCATAGTTTCCACACAGAGGCCAAGATTTTCAAAGATGGCCAGTGATTCTGGATGCCCAAATTGAGATACCCTCTCAGCACTTTCCAAAAAATCAGGCCTCTTAAAGATGTCTCAAGTTGGGCACCCAAAATCACGGGTCACTTTTGAAAATCTTGGCCAGAGCTTTTGAAAATCCCACCCAAAGTGCACCAGGAGCACTAGTCTCGCTGTAATATAAAAGGGTGTGTCCTCCTATCTGACTCAGGTGCATTAGAACATCCCAGCTGTCACCTGCAGTCAAGTGACAATCAAGGAGGGTGGGGAGGGAGGAGTCCTGCTTTTAAAATAATTTCCAATGTCCTTCCAAGTGAACTCTTCCGGAACAATATAAATGAGTGGCAAACACAGAGTCAAAGGGACGTGGCTTTTGAAAAGTACTGATTAAATATGCAAAAGAGCAAGATCAGTAAAACCAAACTGCGCAGTAAATAATGAGTGTACACAAACTTGCTCTGGGAGCCGATGTGCACACCCACTCCAGCTGTTAATCAGATTACAACATCTCTAACGAGCAGAAAGTCGTAACATAAATCTCGTCGCTGCGGGGCCGATCCTGTGAGATATGAGCCCTCATTGCCCATTGCTATCTAGTGCAGTTGGGAGTGCTCAGAACCGTGGATGGTCGGGCCCCAACAGACCAAGCCTAGAAATGGGGAGGTGCAGGGGAGAGATGATGAAGCAGTTTGATTTTTATTTTATTGTAAAATCATGATTATTTAAAACCAGTTTACCTCTCTAAGGGCTTGATCCTACTCCCAGCGGAAGTCAATGAGAGATTTGTAAAAAACAGATTCAATAAAGCACTTAAGCCCTCTGCTGAATAGGGATGGGATTACTCACAAACTTAAAATAAGGTGCCTGTTTAAGTACTTTGCTGAATCAGGGCCTCATCAACTTTATTGGGAACGGGAGGTAAAGGAGCACACTTTAAAAAAAGTCTCTTTTGTGCACACTTCCGATCATCCATCATACAAGATACTCCAAGCGTTACAGGGTTTTGCTGCCGCTCGCCCTCACTTACCCATAAGGCATAAGGAGCACATCCAACATAAAGTCCAAGAGCAGCTGTACAGTCTTTGGTTTTTCGGCAAGATTAAATGGAGAAGCTGCTTTCGATGGTTCAACAGGATATTTCATGTGAAAAAGGGTTGGTATTAGAAGATGCATTAGGCTGAAAAACAATTACATTTACTGCAACTATTTACAAAAACACCTTTTGATTCTTAGCATTAAACAGACAAACTGTACAGCAGAGATTTAGGTGGGGAGAGGGGGGAAGTCAACCGATTCCTATTCTGGTAGCTTTCACTTGATACCCAACATGTCTAACAATGGGAGGCAGGAAGCAAATTGGGGGGTTGGGTTTAAAAAAACAAAACAAAAAAAAATACAAACCCACAAGCAAGGATAAGAATTAATTATCTATGTCCACATTTTTAAGAACATTACTACGTTGTACTTATGTGAATTCATTTAAACACACACAATCTAGCTTCAGAAACTGCAACCAAAGAGAGACTCACAGAGAACATCTCCTGTTCAAAACCTGGGCTCTGATCCTGCACAGGGCTGAGCGCCCTCAAAGTCCCATTGAAGTTAACTGGAGTAGAGGGAGATGAGCACCTCATGGGATCAGACCCAGAGTTATGAAGCATACCTACACCAGGTCTATTTGCTGTACATGTACAGCCAGGTTTCCAAAAGGCCTCAGCACCCAACAGTTCCCACTTACACGCCGATGTTGAAATCCTGGCCCCACTGTAGTCAACCGGAACTTTGCCATTGATTTCAACAAGGCCAAGATTTTACCCCCTGATTCTCGTTTATAATTAAACCACTTTTTACCACTCTGGTAGCATAAAGGCACTTTCAAGTAAGTGAAGATGTCATTTACACTCATTTTAGGGCCCCTGTACACTGCCAGAAGTGCTTGGCACACAGCAGCTCCTATACCTGGCCTGTAATAGTCAGTATCTTATCTATTACGATATATTTCCAAACGTGACACGAGTTTGGATGCCTCAATTTTGGGGTGCCCAACGTGACGCACTTTAAAAAGGCCCAGCTCTCAGAGGGCCAGTGCTCTGCACTCTCTGAAGGTCAGGTTTCTTTAAGGTGTCTCAAGTTGGGCACCCCAAATCATCAGCTGCTTTTGAAAGTTTAGACAGATCTGTCCTATAGTACCACCTAGAGACCCCACCCCCCATCAAATTGATGCCCTATTGTGCTGGGCATTATATAGATTCAACATATGAGACAATCCCTGCCCTGAAGCGTCCTCCATGCTAACTAATGGTCAGGAAGCAAAACTGGATTTCTGAATATATTATCCATCGTGCAAGTCTTTCTAGGTAATCAAATGATCAGCAAGAAAAAGTGCATTTCATTTTAGTCTAACGATATAGGCTTCTTTCATTCCAAGTGCAGATAATCATACCTGTCTTGCTGTGGTTGTGGTTTCCCTTCCATTGCAGTGAGGAGAGTAGGCGCCAATTCACATTGTTTTTCCACAGGCAAACGAGGGTAACCCATCTTAACATAAATTATAGTAAAATTCTGCCAGGGTAAAAAAAAAATATATATGTAATATCAATGCAAAAGAAAAATGGATTTTGTTAAACTAGCCCCATATGGTACATTTCTGACATTGTTGTATATAATAACTGAGGGTCTGAAAGACCAAGCAATTATTTCCAGGGCTAACGATGATTAACCGACAGTTTTCTACTGGCAGGTTCAGCACCTATTCAGCTCTTACCACTGCTGACTTCAATGGGAGGTTTCCTGAGTAAGGCACTGTGACGGAGTCTACTCCCCACGCTGGCCCTGAGAGAGTAAATTAGGCCTAATTAACCCAAAGGTGGCACCTGGAGGAGCAGCCAGGGAGCAGAGATTGATTAATCAGACATGAAGTTCAGCTGGACAGGAACAGAAGGGTCCTATATAAAGCCAGGTAGCTGGCAACAGAAGGGGGCTGCAGGGAAGTAGGTGGCAGATACTCCCTGGGAGGAGGGAGGTGCATTCAGGACTATAGAGGGTAGTCCACGGTCACTCCCTGGGAGGAGGGAGTTGGGAGGCTGGTAAACCGGGGGGCAGGAAGGTAGGAGAAGGCTCAGGGGAAGAGCAGCAAGGAATAGGGGACCAGACCTTGGTTGCTGAAGAGAAGGCCCCTGGGCTGGAACCCAAAGTATAAGGCGGGCCCGGGTTCCCCTACCAGCCACTGGGGACACGGCATACTAGGCAGAGGACACAGAGGTCTATTTGTTCCAGGACAGACTGTGTTACACCCCACAGAAGGGGAACCATGTAGTGACCCAGCCAGAGGGCCGAGTCACAAAGCCGAGGCTGCAGTTCCTGGGTCCGCAGGATGAGAGGACGACGGGAGAGACAGCACCAGAGGATGGCGTAATGCCTGGCCAGAGCTAATCTCCAGAGCAACCAAGGGGAGGCGCCACCTGCGGTGAGTGCACCCCAGGACAGACACTTACGAGAAATCCTCCTGGTCAAAGGCTGCAAATAAAATTAAAAATACAGAGCTGTGGGATAGGACAGCACAAGAGGTTGATAACAGGAGAGGAACCCCTTGCACTGCTAAAGTGCTGGTTCAAATCCAGCTCAGGTTTGTAGTGATGTAGAATGGTTACCTGCTGGCTGTTCAATGACCTGGTTAAAACAATTGTGTTAGGGTGCAGGAGTCAATCCAATTCCCAGTGCACAAGTGCCCATATTACTAGAACTACCACTAGAGTTGGCAGTCTTGTCAATCTCAACCAAGCGGCTAAAGACTAAATACCCCCAGAGAGATGACTACTCTCTAGTGTGTAGAGGTAGTCGTTCAAAGTCAAAGCTTAGTCAGAATGGCTGGATAATGTTGGATCAGTACATTTGATCTGTGGATAAATAAGGACTCTGTTTGTGTGAACAGGAATTTTGAGCCCTGGATGAAGATTCATTGAGCCAAGTACTTTTTTTAAGACAAAGTGTAGCTGCAAATTAAGTCCAGGTGTCTGATAAGTATAACAAAGCCTTCAAATTCTTATCAACAATGCTCTAACCATGTTACTCCAGCTGGATTAAGTTAAGCATGGACCTACTAAATTACTATCATCTTCTGAAATGGTTACAGCTCTTCTCCAATTTGCACGCACACATGACCTTGACTGGTTTATCTGATTAATAATTTTTTAAAAGATCAAACCATTGTGAGAAGTTAGCAAGAGACCATTCTGACGTGACCTCTGTGGTATTTAATTCAAATGTTCAGTAATGAAATAGAAGCAGTGATTCACAATGGAAAGGATTCACAATGTTCTTAGCACCGTTAAGCCGACCAACACAATGCAGAGGTGAGCTGGGCTATGTTTCTTTGTAGTCACGGTATTTATTAAAACATCACAAAACGGACTACACTGTAAGAAACAACATACATCACTTCAGTATAGGATTGTCAGCAGATTTTTGCCATAGACAACAACGATGGCACACAAAGCTGCTTTTCAAGTTTACCGTCACACAAGATGTTTTTCCTCAGTGTTCTACAGAATATGAACCGCTTGTAAATCCTTGGCCTCGTCCAAGGTAAAGCTCATGTACAATTTCTCCCATTGTTAGCTTTTGCTTTTGGACAATCAGCTGCTTCCAGGGTTCCAGTGGAAGTGAATGCTACTTAATGACAGTTTAACAGTCTAAACATTTCCATCTCCGCTCCCAAGGATGTTATTTTCCGTTAAGAACACGCATGGCTTAGCAGCAGAGCCATGAGAGGGAAGACAGGTCTTTTCCAATGTTCTGCAGTCTTTCCCATGAAATCAGTATCAGTATTTGTAATACACACACTACAGTTCAGCTAAGAATGGTCTTCACTAGTTTCACAAAGTGGTTAGTAGTTTTAGGTCTTTTTTTTTTTTTTTTTTTTAAGATTAAATGAATCTGATAAAGTTTCCCTTCTGAAAAATGGGGATATTATTCCCTGTCTCCTGCTTTGTCTCATCTATCAAGGCCCTGATCCTGAAAATACTTACACATACTACTCATGTGCATAAAGACAAGCACATGTTTATATATTTGCAGGATCGTGGCCCTAAATTGTAACCTCTTCAGGGCAGAGATTCACTCAGTAGGTGCTGGTTCTGCACCTGGCACAATGGAGCCTCTAGGTGCGACTAATACAAACAACAAATCTGTCAATTTCAAGTACTCATGAAAGTTGGAGAATAATTGAAGTGGTCTCACAAAAAGTTGTCAGCAATTTAGTGGTTTCATAAAACTACTAGTTTCACCCATGCTAGTGGCATATAGTTGTTTATTTTAAGTCACTTTAAAGCATCTCTCGTATCACAATAATATGTTTCTGAAGGGAACTGGCAGAGTTAAGTACCACGAGGAGCCTCTAAAAAATAGAAAGCTCACCTTTGTACAAATCAGGTAATGTTCTTGGAAGAACAGTACTTACGGTGACAAAGGAAACTGCAGCGGGATCTTGGTATTGGACTAGTAAAGTCTCTACTGGAAGTTGAATTTTTGGACGACTTTTGATGCGTTTATTCAAGTGAACTAGGAGCTCCATGACCTGGGAGGGAGAAAAAACGATTAACCTCAGAGCTTTGGGTTCAATATGTTCCCAATACAATATGATCCATTAAACACAGAACAGGCCAAAGAGTTCTGCATGACTTAGTTTCCAACTCTTTGACAAGATGGCTGCCATCATTTATCATATTATCCATTAGCTCGCATGAAATGCGTTGGTGGTCTCCAGACACTTTCTAATGGACTCTCATCCACATCACAAAACCATCCACCACAAGTGGTGCCCTTGTTAGCAGGATTGGAAGAGATGTCAAGGAGGGAATGATTATGGAGAGTTAACTTGTCTCTCTATATATAGTTGGCGGCTGTATCTCAAGATGGAGGAATGCTGGCAGAGTGATGTGGGGAAGGTTGCAATGTGCCATCAGTGCTGTACCCTGTGGACAGAGGAGGATTCTAGTACTGAAAATCTAGCACTTGCCAAACCAGTTTGAGAAAAGAAAAAGGATTCACATTAAATGAGACAGTAATTAAATTGAGCTAGAACATTTGTATACAGGGACGTCCCTAGAAGGGTGCGGGGCCTGGAGCGGAAGTGATGGATTCGTCTCTTCTAGGACCAACTGCGCCAGCCAATCGCACCGGCTCACGGGGCCCGGAGCAGTCGCCCCGATTCGCCCTACCCAAGGGACAGCTCTGTTTGTATACCACCTTCTCCCCTCCCAAGTGCCTCATCTGGGCCAGCATGGTCAAAGACTCCAGACTGCACACGGTCAACTCTGTTCCTGAAGCACCTGGGCATGATCTACCCAATACACACTATCAGCCTTCCTGGTGTCTAGCTGAGACTGGGCTTTGGATGAGAGTTAGCTAGCTGAAGCGCAGCATGGAGAACACAGAGTCAGTGTTGGCAGGCTAGGGGAAAATGACTGGAGGAAATAGCAGAGCTGACCTTTACTATCTCAGCCGGGAGAGTCTGCACATCTTGTGTTACCCAAGTTAGCAACTTGGATAACTTGTTCAAATCTCTGCTACTTCTGGAGCCACAGATAGCAGCAGTGGCCATGAGTGCTTTTTCTCCCATCTAGACTGGCATGAAAGTTGCAACTCTTTTCTTTTTGATGTAGCGCTCACCCTGGTTACCTGCACCTTCGTTACCACTGGAGGGGATTACTGCAACGTGCTGCTTTTGGGGCTACTCCTGAAGACGTAACGGATGTTTCTGCTGGTGAAGAAAGCAGTTGTTTGCCTTTATGCTTTCTGTGAGAAATACTAATACACCTCTGCTCTAGAGACTGCACTGGGTAGCTGAGGAACCCCAAAGATCCACAGAAGTCAGCTGGAGCTGAGGACAATTAGCACTTCAGTTTATTTATAGGTGCAATTCAAACTGATTTTGATCTAACTTAGCCTCTCCTTGTATGGGCTTGTAGGGAATATAATCTAGTTCCCTCTCCAAGCTCAGGGAGAGAAGGATCCAGCACAGTGCAAGAGGTAGCATAAAAAGCTTTCATAGACAGTTGAGCAATAACATGGAACTGGGGTGTTATGAGAGTCTGTAAACCGCTACCTGGTAAGCTAACCCAGCAAAGACAACACATGTAGCAAACCTTAAAGCAGTTAATTGTGGGTATTTCACCTGTAACCACATATTATTGCTATTATACAGAGTGGGGGAGGGAATTACACCCAAAACACATTATGCAGGAGAACAAAGCATAACAGATTGTAATCACAGCAAGAGAACTTCCATATACAATGACAGTTTGGGGCACCTGGTTAAACCATTCAGGATGGCAGTTGAGAAAGAAGCTGGTTCGAATCAGATGTGTCTGGGTTCGACTGAGGAGGTATTAGATTTTCTAAGTTAGTTAAGAAGGTATATGAGGGTTTCAAGGTAAGCGGTCGGCCTCAACCTCTCACTCAGTCTACATGTCTATGACCCATCCTAGAGACACCTGGCACGGTGCTAGCAGTCAAAGAATTCAGGATGAGAGCAAGGGAAATGAAGTAACATGCTAGTTGGAAGAAATCAAAGGGAGGGGAGGGAAGCCTGAGGAGGAAAAGTACTGATGGTCAGAGAAACCCTATGTATGGTGGAAAAACTGGTTGGAACTGAAGAAACTACTCCTGCTCTTCTAAAACTACGTTAAGACCAACAATGACATTTAGGGCTAGTCTACACTTGAACGTTTTACCAGTATAACCAGGAGGTGGGATTATTTTTTGCTAACACTGTTATGCCGGTAAAAGCCACAATGTAGATGCAATTATCCCAGTATAATTACACTGCTAGAGCTTATTTAAACTCCCAAATCAGAGCAAGCTAAACCGCAAAAGCACTTTTATATCCTATAACTATGTCTACGCTGCAGGGGTTTTGCCACTTAGATTATGCCAGCATCTTTCCATTTCCGATTTCATTCATCTGGCTTATTGGCCTTTGTTTTCTCAAGACCACAATTCAGCAAGCGCTTAGGCAAGTGCTTAAAGTTAAGCTTGTGCTTAGCTCCGTTTGACTTCAAATGTGTTTAAGTGCTTCGCTGAATAGGGATGGGTCTAAAGAGGGAGGCCAACGTTCTTTGCTGAATCAGACCAACGTTAGCACAGACCATTCGGTATATTTTGAAAAGTTGTTGGTGTCTGAAAACATGCCATATTTCTCAGTCTCTTGTGGTAGTTTAGAAGTGAGACTAAAGTGAGCCCGCAGATTGAAAAGCAAGGCTTTGAGGTAAATAATCGTATCAAAAGCAGAGCTTGCGTTGAACAGGTTTCTCTGCACAAATGCATAGTGCAGATTAGATCTTTGCTGAGGTTTACGAGCGGTCAGTTAGGTTTTTAATCACCTTTGATTGGCTGCTAAACACTTAATTTAGAATAATTTTCCTGTATATTTGTTTAAGATTAGAACCGTAAACATAATTAAAAACCAACAGAATAATCTGTAAATCGGGATTTAAAATAATTTTCAAAACAAAAATACTGGAAGAGTCAATTCCTCCCCCACCCCATTTTGTCAAGAACAACATTCAGGATTCTGTATTTCCCTGCCGAGAGTGGACCTTACAAACATTTGGGAGCACAGGAAAATGATCGGTTATGTTCATGATATCTTTTGCATGGAAAATATCAAACTTTGGTCTAGACAGGAAAGTAAAGTGAGTAATATTTTTTGGTTTACAATTTAATGTTAAGCCCACACCGAAACAAAAATATTCATTTGTCATTTTAAAAGGTTTCTTCCTTAAATTACATAAGATTTTTAATTTTTAAAAATTGCAGTCTTTGGCCTTTTCCTACGCATAACCATTCAGATGAATCTGGTTAACAAATTCCAACTTGAAAGAAGAAAACACATCACATACCCAGACATTAAGGAACTTCACCAGCTAGCCGGATGCTCTCTCTCACAACAGTCCTTCAGCAAGTTGACAACAATACGCATCTAGTGCCAGATTTTCAAGTATTCGGCACCCACAACTGGGACCAGTTTTTGGTGCTTAAATGGGAGCTGAGCTCTTTTGAAAATCTGGCCCCGACTGTAGGTGTTGAGCTTTTTAGAAAACTTTGGCCATAGTGGGACAATAGTTTCCCCACTTGCACAAGATGGATAACATTGGGGTGGAGAGGGGGGGTTGGCAGATTCCAAAAAAAAACCTGAATCTCCGTGGTAGCCCATCTCTCAGTTGCTATGCCCAGATTTCTAGTGCACCCTGTAACAGATATGGCAGTTTCCTGCAATATCTTTGGGAGATATTGAATTAAGTTTAAGTACCTTTGGAGTCCATTGTATTAAATGCAAAGGTTATGTATTAGTGAGGGCCTTGAGGATCAAAGGACTATAATGCACAATGTGGCAGATAAGAATGAACTTTTGGGACAACACGTGAAGTGGATTTCCCAGGAAATATCTAGGAGGGAGATGAATGCAAATTCCCCACTCACAATTATGCAAAAACCCAGCCTTTGCCCTGAAGGGGGGTGATTCTCCCCCCAAGATCAAAGGCCCAAACCATATAAAGGAGTGACTTTATACAGACACTTGGGGGAGCCTATTCTGAGCTACCAGCTGTTAGGAACTTGTAACCACAGAAGAATCCCTTGGTGGGGTTTGAAGGACTGACTCCTCCCGGAGCCCCTGCTGGAGTTGGAGATGATTTCCAATAAGCTTATTAGCATGGGTGCAGCTTCTTTTGCTTTTAATGTTTTCTCTGTATTGCTTTCATCTGAAGAACAAACGTGCTTTCTTAGAAAGGGCTGTGTGATATCACTGAGGGCAATTACACTGTGTATAGCCTCCAAGGAGAAAGCAAAGTGCAGGTGCAGGCCATTAAGACCATCTGACTTACTGGGGAACTCACAGTGTAAGGCAGGGAGTTGCGCAATCTGGAAAAAACCCAGTCAGGAGGGGAGAGACGTGGGTCTCCGCCCACAAGGTGACAGCTGAGGAGCTGGGAGCCTATGAGTGGGTGCCCTTGCTGGACCACCAAGGGGGAAATACAGGTGCAGTTGCCCTGAACTGACACACAACCAGTTAAGTGAATGATAGCAATGACTATTGCAAGTATCCTGGTCTGACAGCAAACAGGAGTGACTCTATACATCACATTAACATTACACAGAATATTTTCTCTTACGGAAAGCAGCCAGTAACACCAAATCATCGATACATCATGGATGTCTACATCTCCAGTGACTGGAAATCTTACAATAACTGCACCCTTACCTTTTTACGCACTCCTTCCTGCGTGCTGGACAGTTTGAGCAGGACAGGGGGTAGGAATTTGGATATAATATTCTGTAACTGCTCATCTGTTTCTGCATGGCCAAGACGTAAGAATACACGTTCAAGTTGATCTGTAGTTTAAAAAAAATAAAGTTAATTTGGAGTTAGAAAGCCAAACAGCAGACAAATCTTTTCCTACTTATGGGTTTGTAACACAGCAGCTGGGATGAAAGTATGGTAAGGATTGAGCATCTTCAATCAAAGCTCTCAACAAAGCATGATCTTCTATTCTTAAAACTGCATGCAAACTTTCCGTTGCTGAAAGATGCTGGATTGATGGCCTTCAATCCTCGATTATTCACAGATCGGGTTCAGCAGTGCAAACTTCCACACACTGCCCCACTTATGGGCCTCAGCCCTAATCTAGAATACCCACAGGCGGAGACAGTACTTCAGCCTCCGTACCTAGTAATCCTTTGGCCTCGCTGCTCTGACCGCCAACCAACGTGTCAATTGTGGTGGTCGTTTTTGAGATACAGACATCTGTCTGCTGGACTCTGGACTAAGACCATAACAAAGGCCACCAGACAGCCACTGAATGGCAATAACTTTTGGTCTATTATTATTTATATTGCTGTAGAGCCTAAGAACCCCTGTCTGGACCAGGACCCCCTGGTGCTGTACACTGCACAAACAGATGGTCCCTGCACCAAGAGCTTACAATGTAACGAGGGATGGATTTGATCCAGCAACCTAGAGAGGAAAGGCTCTATGCTCTGATACCAATCCACTGAGCCACCATTAGAAAAACCATTTATGAAGCTGAACAAACTATCTGGATTTGCTATTATTTGTTAACCCAATTTTCAAGCGAGACTGTCATCATCAATAGGAATTAAACGTGGGTGCCAGAAAAGTAATGATATTTTGACATAACTTAAAATGCAAAAGACTTTGAAGGTCCTATCACCCACATGAATGTGTTGGAGTGTTCTGACAATCTCATTTCTCTATCCCTCTCACCGCCTCTCAGGACCACCCAACCCAGGAAGGAGTATAAAATAATAGTATGAATGTCAGTAAGGACATAGGAGTCACAAATGATACAAAATCAGGAGGGGAGGAAGAGATAAAAAACATGCATCTGTTCCTGTATGAACTAGGAAAGGATCCTCTTAGGAACACTGACAAGACCAAAATCCTCTATCGGCAACTCAAGCAATTGGCTTGAAGACCAACTGTCTTTAGACTAATAAATGGGAAAGTCACTGTTTTAAGCACGAGGATCTAGCTGATCTGATGGCTAAACTAGAAGAAAAGCAGACTGACACATGGGTAGCAAGACACCGAAGCAGCACTTTCACAGCTTGGGATGGGGGCAGGATGGTTCTGATACACAAGGGCAGTAGTGTTCCCGACTCTTCTCTGCATCTTCACTATGCACACCTGATCTACAACGGATTGCTAACAGGGTCAATGCAATTGGGAGATTACAGGCAAAAAGGCAGCCTACAACAAGGGGAAGCTAAAACCCTTACAGATCCAACATGGACTGCCCCACAATGGTTTGCTCTTAACTTAAATGGAGGGGAAATGCCCTTTGCCCTGTCCCTAATCTGTGATGCTTGCAGGACAAAAGTATGTTGTTGGGGGCTCCAGGATGCTCTGATACAAGAGAAGGAAAATCCCTTGTTAGATGATCCATACCACGCATTAAAGGATGTGACAGAGTGTACTACCTGGAGACCCAGGTAGAGTCAAGAGTCAGTCCTCTATCAGCTCTACAGAGTTATGGTCCACATGCAGTTGGTCTTGACAATCTATCAAGCCCTACTGCTACATATCAGAGGAAGCAGCAGCAAAGAGGGGCCAGTCTAATGCAGTCAAGTAAGGAGGAAGCAGTGCTCTTCTGCTTGAAGCACCCGAAAGGAGAGAATGTTTGTTTGAACTTCAGTTATACCCTACAAAAGAGAGGAGGATTTGATGGGTTGAGGGATGGGCTGCTCAGACTTGGGGGAGGGAGAGGCCCTCCTGTCACAAAGGTTTAACCCTGTATTCCTTGGGAACCCAAAGCTCCCCCGGAAGTCAATGAGTTTTGGATGGATACACAAGGGATGGAGGGAATCAGTCCCTCAACGGGCAACACGGAGGTTTAAGTACCAATACTGTACCTGCAGATTTGAAGTGACTTTTGAACACTCACTATGCAGATAGGAAGGCCTTTGGAAATGCTGCTCTATTGTCTCTAACTTTCCCCATCCCTTTGTTAAAGCCCTTCCAGGGCTTGTCTACGCTTACAGCGCTGCAGCAGTGCCACTGTGCCACTTTAGCACTTAGCGAAGATGCCGATGGGAGACGCTCTCCTGTCGGCAGAGGTACTCCACCACCCCTGAGCGACGTAGTTATACCGACTAAGGTGGTCGTATAGACCTCTTAGCCACAGTATCATCTCTCTGCAGGCAGCAGACCAAGCGCATGCACGTCCCTCCCAACATTTTGTTTCCGGTTGAACTAAACAGGGTAAGCAGTTGAAAAGACAAATGACTATAAGATTTTAATGCCAGCTGAATTACAAGTCAAAATTCAGCAGTTCCTCCAATACAAATTGTACTTGTCAGTGAATCTCTGGTCTTATGGGGATTTTTCTTGCTTTCTCATGCTATCAGCTGCCTCAGGGAATCAAGATACATTCCTCCCACCTAATTTTAAAAAAAGCTTCTCTCATGTCCTGCCTTTCTCTGTCATATTTCATTTCCCTAAAGTATCTGCCTTCTGAGAATTCTCCGATGCTTCATGAATTGAGCAGCCTGGGGTAATAAGAGCCTGATCCTGAGAGTCAGTGGGCACACGCAACTCTGACTGCGTTCTGTAACCTTAACAAAGCCAACAACAATACTTGCAGTGTCTGTGCTCACCACTGGCTGCAGTGCACCCAAACTCCACATCTGGGAGGCCTTCCCAATGTCATGTTCCTTGTGGTAGAGAATAAACAGGACTTGATTGCAGTGAATGCAAAGAAGATAAGTTTATTTATTATAACCTTCAGCTAAAGATATATAATTTTCAAAAGCAGAGATATAGAGTAGAAGCCACAGGAAATATAGGAATTCTGTGAAGCAGCAGTCAAGCAAAACGTATGTTAAAAGGGAAGGGTCAACTAACAAAAAGTATACTGCTTTTCCAATTTTTTCCTCTGCTATTGTTATACGTAGCACCCAAGACTACTATGATAAGATGAAAGAGAGTGGAGAAAGAACAATTTCCTCTCTGCCCAATGTATTTACTTTGTGTGTTTGACATGTACATTATTTTCACAGGTTTCCTCTGTATGGTCAGTTAAGTTCCAGTCTCGCAAATGCGGACTCGTGTGCTTAACTTTAAACCTGGAGTAATCCCACTGATTGCAATGGAACTATTCACATGCTTGAAGTGAAGCACATGGGTGTTTGCAGGATCATGGACTAAATCAGTTTCCTCTGTTGTTGGTGTGGGCTTGTCACATGGCAACAGGGAAGAGGAAAAACGTTTTAATAAAAACAAGAAAATGTGACTGTAAACCCACAAACCCTGACAGCTGTATCACCTGAAACCACTTTTAATGATCTAAATTGACCACTTCTCAAGTTGTTTGCTGCATTGGTGTAGCCGTGTTGGTCCCAGGGTATTAGAGAGACACGATGGTGAGGTAATATCTTTTGTTGGACCAACTGCTGTTGTTGAATGAGATGCGCTTTCGAGCTACACAGAGCTCTGAAGCAGCAGTTCTGTGTAATTTGAAAGCTTCTCTCTCACCAACAGCAGTTGGTCCAATAAAAGATATTACGTACCCATCTTGTCTCTGTCATTTCTCAAGCTGACAGTGTACTTTAGAGGAGAGCATCCCCAAAGAACCAAATAAAAGAACACATTTGGCTCCATCTGGTCCAACGGAGATGGCATCAGACTGGGACTCAGGAGACCTTAGATCTGTTCCCAGCTATGACTGACCTGATTGTGTTACGTCTGGCAAGTCATCTCACCTCTCGGCACCTTTGTCTCCCTTCATATCCTTTATCTGTCATCTATTTAGTCTGTAATCTCTTTGGAGTACAATTTTTCTCTCACTATGTATTTGTCCAGCACCCATCCCAATGGAGTCCTGATCTCAGTAGGGGCCTTTCGGTGCTACTAGAATACAAATGATTAACAACTCTCTGACTTGCTTTCCTGGCTACCAAATTCCAAAGAAAGGTAATCAGTACGGCTGTCAATTAATCGCAGTTAATTCACGCAGTTAACTCAAAAAAATTAATCACAATTGAAAAAATTAATTGCAGTTTCAATCACACTGTTAAACAATAGAATACCAATTGAAATTTATTAAATATTTTGGATGTTTTTCTACATTTTCATATATATTGTATTCTGTGTTGTAACTGAAATCAAAGTGTATATTATTTTTGATTACAAATATTTGCACTGTAAAAATGATGAGGAAAAGATGCTGGTGGCATCTGATAATGAAAATGAATATGCATCAGTCCACATTGCTTTGGATTGTTATCAAGCAGAACCCGTCATCAGCATGTCCCCTGGAATGGTGGCTGAAGCATGAAGGGATATATGAATCTTTAGCGCATCTGGCACGTAAATATCTTGCGACGCTGGCTACAACAGTGCCATGAGAATGCCTGTTCTCACTTTCAGGTGACATTGTAAACAAGAAGCAGGCAACATTATCTCCTGCAAATGTAAACAAACTTGTTTGTCTGAGCAATTGGCTGAACAAGAAGTAGGACTGAGTGGACTTGCAGGTTCTAAAATTTTACATTATTTTATTTTTGAATGCAGGTTTTTTTGTACATAATTCTACATTTGTCAGTTCAACTTTCACGATAAAGAGATTGCACTACAGTACTTGTATTAGGTGAACTGAAAACTACTATTTCTTTTGTTTTTTTATAGTGCAAATACTTGTAATAAAAAATAAATATAAAGTGAGCACTGTACACTTCGTATTCTGTGTTACAAAAGGAGCACTTAAGACGATAAAGTCATGAATTCTTTGCTTCAGTCTTCACAGCTGAGGATGTTAGGGTGATTCCCAAACCTGAGCCGTCCTTTATAGAGGACAAATCTGAGGAATTGTCAC